AAATATGAAACCAGAATAAAATGATGCAACAAAGTTGGTGAAATAATTTGGAAGCACGTATCATTTAAATCATTAAAAATAAATTTTTTTAAATTAAAGAATAACACAAAGTAAGTAAAGTAAAGGAATTCATTGAATTGCGTTCAACAGTAAAAAACTAATACAACCTTTTATATCTTGAAGTATTATGCTATTCGTTTACTAGTCAAAGCTAAGGACAATGTATTCTAACGTTAACGCTTTATTAGACCCCATTCTTCCTAAAACTTAACCTTCATAATCAGGGAAACTTATAAATTTTTATTTGATGAGAATCGGAATTAAAAAAATAAAATATTAATGGACAGTTTCAGCATTAGGTGATTACAAATGACGATTCAGCGAGTTGTAATATTCGCGACCACAACGCTCGAATACGCCATCTGGAGAGAAGACCGGTTCCACATCTTGACCTTCCCTTTTCTTAATATTTTTCGTATTTCATTGTCACACATATTTTTTTTATAATTTTCACGGTGCTTTCTTTTAGAACTATGTTCGATGTAGTTTTCAGTTCTATATAGCTTCCTAACTTAAGAGTTTTTATTCTATTTGAAAATCAAGAGAGAAACTGATGTACTTCCTTCTCTTATGACTCTCCACACGATAATCATGAAAGCATGCGAAGTGTTGCCATAAGAAGAGAGCTCTGCTCTACGCAAACTATAACCCAATTCGATCACCAATAGCCAGTGCTCCTCTTTAGTTATGATGAATTTTATTTCTTAGATTGTTGCTTAAACACAACTATACCGATTGAGGGTTACTCCCTTCACTCCAAGTGAAATAGGTTACAAATCCTCCTAAATTTCGTTTTCCGGAACTGGAAATTCAAAATATACCCAACGCCATGAACTTAACGATTGATTAATATTTTTTTCTCCAGTGTGGTTGCTTTTACGAGACATAATGGTTGAGCATCTAAATATTCTAGACGCCCAATAACATGCGAACGATTTTGACGTTACCTCTATTGATTGCCAAGTTAATTTAATTTTCAGTGCCAGCAACTAAAATCATCACCAAACGAGACTCTGACAGCCATAGCACGAACATGCAATCTCGGACAGATCTTTCCCGACAATGGATCTGTTTAGACGCAGAGAAAGGCTTTTTTTAATAGAAATTATAGTATGTCCATTTCAGTACCTTTAACAAATGAATATATTAAATTGATGTGTAACGAATTATCATTATTCCAGACGTATAATAAAGTGCGAATGATTTAACCGTTTCCTCTTCTTCCAAGTTTTCTTTTCAGTGCCTACAACTGTGATCTTTACCAAACGAGGCTCTCTGGCATTGAGAGCACCAACATGAAACAGAACAGGATACGTAATATAGTTCATTCACGACAATGAACAACTAGTCGTATTTTAATTCCATGACGTAGCAAAGTTAACTGTTAACCGAGCTTACAGTCAAATTGTAAATATTTGACCCACCGTTCGAAATCTGAACAAATATCGGTTTTGAAGTAGGCTCGTCTGTTTCCAGGCAGGGTTTTTACGTAATAAAACAGGTTGAACCGCTTTCCTGGGTTTGAATAGATAGAATATTTATAGAGAAAACGACTGTTAAAATACTCTGCCCCAATTCCAGTTGCCTATAGTAGAATGTTGCTTCATTAAATTGTCTTAAATTTAGATCAATTGCATTTCCCAAGCTCAAGCTATGGGGAGTCGGTAGAAAGATCGGAACTGATGTTTCCTATTTTTAAAACTATAATTTTTTGTATTTTGACTAAGGGGCCCGTAAAATCTGTGTTCAGCCTTGGACAGCAGGTTTTATCTTGATCTACATTTACCAACTTCTAACCATGAATGTAAGGCAGTATAAAAAGTGTTTTAAGGAGCACCTGAACTTAATAGAAAAGAAAAATGGGGGATTAATATGCAAAAGGTGGGTCACCCCTAATTTAAGAAAATTAAGAGTAGTTTGCATGCATATCCACATACGAATTAAATTGAGTCCATGCGTATAAAAATGAAATTTAAAACTTTTCTACACTGACGTTAAACATCTTTAGAGTGCAAAAAATGTGGATAATTTAATAATTGACAAATAAATAATTAATAAAAACACTCACTTCACTTATAAAATTTAATAAGTTGCAAATTATCTCGAAATCAGAATCAGATAAGATCAAACAACCTGTTGCATTATCTTAGACTGGTGATATTTAAAGCTGATTTCTTCAGACTTAATTTTTAAAAATGTATTTCAACATATTTAAAAACCTCTGTAAATCTGTACAATGCGCTAAAAGTGGTTCGATGATAGTGGAATAGCATTAAAAATATATAAAATCTAACAATGTTTATTTGTGTACTCTTTCATCTAGCTAAGGCCACTATTCATGAAAGAAAGAAAAAAAATTATAGAATGACTCTCGATTATCCGACACCCAATTACTTGACATACATGGTTGTTCTAAAACCTTATCGATTCTTATTCAAAATTCCATTCATTAAAAATTCTATTGCTCATTTGGAAATTCCATTTATAACCAAATGAACACGGTATTAAACATTGTATAAGTATAGAACAATATGGTCTCATTACTAAGCAACTATTTAATGACAATTCCCGAGCATTCACTTATCAATGCAAATGTTGATAAAGAAAATATTTTAATTTTTATAGTCAATTTGCTATAACTTGAAGAACGATTAGCTTTACTCTCTTCAACTCGAATTATTTAAGAATGTAATGCAATCGTCTAAAAGCAATCAGCGCAAGATAAACCATATCAATTTGAACATCATAACGCATGGTAATTTGGAAATTAAAGGAATCCATGTAGACGCATGCATTCAAATTCATTTCAAACTCATTAAGTTCCAGATTAGCTTTGTGTTTATGATTTAGGCTCAGAGTTAGTGTGAAAGAAGTGGATAGAAATCCAACTAAATCTTTCTGAATACCCTTAATTTTGACAGAAAATGTCCCTTAACGACACGAACTTGATGTCAAAAAGAAGGAATATATCTTTCCCGATAGGTTAAATAATCTTAAGAGTTATACAATATACTATCTGATAATAATTAAATTATCTGACTATTATTTAAAAGTCGAAAACAAACGAACAGTAAGTCAAACTTCAAAAGATCTAAGCTTTTCAGTAGTCCTATATGTCTTATGTCTTTTGTAATATTGAGGTTTTTATGGTCTAAAAACAAACTAAGAGTAAGTTAAGCTTCCACAAGATAAAAGTGTTTTTTTCGGTCTTAACAGAGTAGAGTCACATTGACTAATGACTCAAGTAATATTGAGATTTCTGCTGTCTGCCAATCAGGGCTAGAATCTAGAAATGTGGGGGCCCTAGGCACAGAACTGAGCTTGATTCAGTGTAGGGTGGGGTGACTATACACTTACAAAACATACCTGATCACAACGATTCCTCCTGACCACAGCCATTTTGATGTCACAATGAGTGTCGGATAATTGAAAGCCTGGTGTATTGGAAATATTTTTTAATGTTCGAGATTTTGTAATCTCTTTAAGACGTTTAGATAGGCTCATCTATTCCTAAAACACACACTAACATGTTTGGTCAAACAAAGCTATAAGGGCAGAGAAATATTCACAATTTGGTTTTAATATCACAAAGAGAAAACACTAGACTAATACGATACTGCTTAAAGACCACCTTTTTTTTACATGAAGAAACAAGTTTATAACTTTGTTACAATAACACTGTTACAAAGAGAAGTAAAGCATTAAAATAGAAATCCGTACAAAAAAAAAAAAAGGGTTCACCACAATTGATATTTTGAATGCCCAATGCGTGATATTAATTTTTAAAATACGTACAGAACCTCTTATCCGGAAATCAGAAAAACCGGAACGAAATTCGATAAATTATCCCGCCATTTTTTAAATTTTTTTTTTCTTCCTCATAAGATTTTTCTTTCTTTTTCAAAAGATGTTTACCTTACCATCATTTTAGAAATAATCATTAGTGTATTACTTTATCGTTTTTTCTTCTTTTTAAGATTATTTCTAAATATTATTGTTCTTTCTTCAGTTGGGTTTGACAATAAAAAAACGGCTTTTTGTAGCGATTCAGAAAACCGGAAAAATCAGTTATCCGGAATAGCGATGGTCCCGATCGTTCCGGATAATCGGTTCTCTACTGTATTATAGTAGAAAGCTTGTAGTCAGGCATCATTAAAGTTTCATATCTGAAATTATAACAATTAATTTTAACTGCATGAAGTTTTGTGATATAAAATACTTGTGTGATAGATTATTTATTTTACTGTGCAGACTATTTTTCTTTTCTTAAAGGAACACAAAAGAAAGTAGAAATTAAAAAAATTTTGAAATAAAACTTAGAAGATAAAATTTAGACACTCTTTTTTTAAAACTTTGAATTACAGTAAAAAAAATTTTTTAAATTAACAAAGATAGATGTTGGTTTTAAAAATTTAAACAAGGTTCTTTTAAGAATGCTTTTAACTTATAGATTTGCAAATTTTTTAACATATTATTTTAGAGATCTTAATTACTTCAAAATCTTTAAAAAAAATTTAACATCTTATACTTTTTCTTTCTAGAAATATAATATATTTTCTCTGCTATACATTATGCTTTCTCTAATTATAGACTTTGCACCCAATAATCAGCTACTAAAATTCACATATCACGAATACTTTCTATATTAATTAAAAAAAGTAATGTTCTGGAGCATGTTAGGAAAACTTTTATGCAAAAATGCCAGTTTCCGAACTACTGAAGAAGAAATTAAAGCATCATATTAATCAACTTTAAAAACTACATTACTATTCAGATAGTTTCCTTTAAAAAATAATAATAAAAGCCATAGGCATATAAAACATTAAAAAAATATATAAATAAAAATAAAGGTAATTTAATGAAACGAAAAGCAGGAAAGCTTTATATCTGTAGACTAGTTTTTTCCTCCTCTCATATCACATACAGATGTAAATAAAATGTCAGCAAATAACAGATTTATTTATTCAATCAGAGAATCATATCACAATATACAGTAAGTAAAAAATGCATTAGCCGTTATTAATTTTTATAGTACACAAGACAAATCTTTGTTATGACTGAATACTCCCATACAAAACCATTTTTTCGATGACAAATATAAATGCATATAATTTATTTTTCTTTAAAAAAAAAAGATTTAACAAATAAGTAACATTTAATCAAAATTAATATTGCGCCAAAATTAATTTAGAAAATCAATATTGCGCTAAAGCTGGTCTTGTGATATAAATTTAAAAACAAAACTTTAGCAATAAAATATAAATTAAAAAAAACTTTTTTTTACCAAATACATGAGAGAAATACTGCATAATTTTATACTTTGTTCACTTTTTTTTTTACACATCAACATACAAAGCTAACTGTCAATAAATACTGCATCGCCAAAATTTATGTCAAGGGTGCAATAAATTTTTTTTTAATGTCTTAAATGATTTTATAAATTTAACAGTACAAAAATACTTTCCAATAACAGAGAAATTGCATATCACAAAAGTTTTTCAGATCTTCAGAAAATTTCAGCTACACTGGTATAAGTTATATACACTTTTTTTTCTTCATTTTTTTTTAAAATAAGAGGAAAGCTCATGATTGATAGATATGATACTCTGACATGCATACATATTTACACATGTAATTCTGTTGATAGTTAACATTTTCTGTCACATAAAAAAGGGGCTTTTATTCGATTTTGAACCCGCAATCAACATTGGTTAAAATGTGTGCATCGATTTCTACTACCACACTTTTCTAAACATTTAAATGATCAAGAATTTGCAGCTAAGTATAATGCAGCTGGGAAACATTTGAATTGATAGTTTTTGTGTTAACTTTTCTAAACATTTAAGTGATCATGAATTTACAGCTAAGTATAATGCATCTGGGAAAATTTTTGAATTAATACTTTTCACTTTTACTTTCCTAAATATTCAAACTATCAAGAATTTACAGCTAAGTATAAAGCATCTGGGAAAAATTTGTATCAATAGTTTTCGTTTTCATTTACCTTAACTATTATTAGGGACTTCATCTACAGTGGTGTCATACAACTGAATTTACACAAAATATAAATACTTATTGATTTGAATTCTTATTGATTTTAAAATTAAAAAAAAATTTTTTTTCCAATGTCCACCCATATGCAAAATATTAAAAAAAAAAATCAGCTTTAAAAACCTCAAAAATGTTCAACAATAAATAGATGAAGATTAAGTAGGATTATGAGTTACTTTTCAGATAAATGCAATAAATCTTCTTTCTTTTTACATACAATCACAAGTACTTTACTTAGCAAGCTTATTAGGACAAAAAACAACTTATTTTTTTTAAAGTGTTTCAAATTTATGATCTTGCTTATGAGATTCAAAATAAAATTTTTTAAGTTGAGTATTAACTTTTCACAATACATTGCAATTTAAATGCATTTAATAATTTTATTTTGCCATAGAAATTCCAGAAATTCCTGTGTATAATAAAATAAGCACATTTAGATAATGGGTATCAAATTACAATTCAAAGGCATTTTTTTCTTATGTTCAAATGCTAATATAGTCATCAGAGTATTTAAAAAACAAATATTTACTATTTAGACATTATTTGCATAGCGATTCAAGCCGCGATACTTTCAATTAAAAGCTTTTGATATTTTTAGTTTTTTATAATTTGGCATATAAAGATAATTCTATATTATGCACAAAACATATTTAGAATTAAAATCTTAAATTAGCAAAAACCTATTTGGTAGGAAAGGCACTTCTAAAGAGCAAATGTGTAAGTGCCAAGATTATAAACACAGTTAAAGATCATTTGATAACATTTATTCAAGTATCAAGAAAAAAAAATTTTTTTTTTACTGTTTAATATGATTATTAGTGCTAAATTGAATGTTTAAAGTTCCAAGAAGATCTTTATTTTGGTATTATAAAATATATATCATAGTATTTTAAGAGCCTAATCATACACCTGCGCATATTAAAATTGATTTGCATGGTTATAATTGCATTAAAAAAACACTTTCCATATCAAGTATGAAACAGTGGTTTCATTAAGAAAAGAAGGACATGATATTGATTAAACTAGTTCTTTGTAGAAATTGATCAATAATTAATAAGCGTTAATTATTAATTTGATATTTTGAAAAATGATTTAATAGTAAAAATTAGTAACTGTAAATTTTTGTCCATTCACAATTCTGAAACTTGGGACCTATCCTAATAAAGTTATGCAAAAATTTATTTTATGGGTACCATTTCAATCTGGAAGAGTTTTCTTTTTAAATAAATTATTCCTAGATTGCCAACTTAAATGCTTAATACAGTATTTTCTAATTTGAAAAAGCAAAGAAAATACATAAAGATTTTAAAGAGAACAAATTTGGCATGTGTATAAGAATTTTTTTTAATCATATTTAATTAAATACATTTATTTAATTTCACTGACATAATGATTTAGATTAAAATGTCTTACCTACAAGTACATGAATGAGAAAAAAGTAGTTAAAAAATTTAAGGGGTACTTCTTCATGTACTCGTACTTCCATCTTAACTGGTAGTTTTTTTTAAACATAAAAATGAAACACTAAACTGCTGAAAAAGGAGATTCGTTGAAATAATATGACCAAAAAAAAAAAAGGATAAATGCTAACATTTGTTCATTTGTCAGTAAATGCTGGCAGTATGTCTCAAACAATCACAAAATATTTCTAAAGAATATCTAATAAAGTTTCAGGACCTAAAAATTTAAAACAAACTATGGTATTGATTTCATGTACTGTAAAATTACCTCCTTATCTGAGCAACAGATAAGAATGCGTAAAAGGCTAACTGGATTTGATGAATGATCAAAATAAAATAAATGAAACCAACACAAAAAAAAATGTCTTTAAATGTTCTTCATTGCATATTTTGACACACCTCAATCAGTTTGGAGCTTTGTTGTGTGCCTGGGAGGCCTTTAACTCCCCCCCATGGAGCTCCATTTTGGAAAGGCCGGTCACACAAGCTTTTCCACCAAAGAAAAGTTCTTGAAATGGAAAAGTCTAAATATTATTTACGCTTTTAATAAAATCTAATTAGTGGAATCTTTATCAGATGCTGGTCTCGTGGATTTTGGAGGCCTCGATAAGCAATTGATATCCATGTGAGACGGGACTCGTTGCTCGGTTGTTGATGGTGGCAGTTGGGGAAGTGCTGGAAGATGGTGACGATGAATTGACCGGTGTAATACTAGTCACTGTGGTGGGGGAGTTACTAGACGTGCCCTGAGCCCGATTTTGACGAGTAGGTGATCTAATCATCAGTGGTGCAGTCTCACTTTCGGGAGAATTGCTAGCAGGAGGAGCTACAAACTGGGTATTGTTGTGGTTCATGTTCTGCACTGAGTTATTATATATTGCGTTTTTTTGCGAACCATTTATGTCATAGGGATAGTCATTGGGAGATGGGGTTTTCACGTCTTCATCTATGTAACTAATTTCGGAGAGCTGCTTAGGGTGACTACGGGAACTACGTAAACTGTGTAAGCTATGTAAACTATGAACACTACGTCTTTCTTCCATGTCTTCCAGCGTGCTCTTAAAGGCCCTCACTACTCTGAGCTGTTGGGAGGAAAGAAAGTAAATGGAAAAAAAACATACAAAGGAACAAGCATCACAAACAAAAAAAGAACAAAATCAACAACTGCACATACAAGGCAAACTACAAAAAGTCAATAAACAGCTATATCATTACCAATTAATAACTATAGCAAAATTATTTCATTATGGACATGCCTACTATATTATTGAATTTCTTGAACTCCTAGTTCCTAGTAATTTTAATCTACTAATAACACACCATGCAGGTTTAGGTTACTTTCTTATTTCCTCTGAAATAATGAGAACAGTATACGATTTGATGAAAGCTAGATCTATTAGATCTAAAGCCAGAGAATAATGTTTGCAACTATGTTTGAAATATATACATTAAAGATGTAATATGAATAGATCCTTTCATAATTCTTTCTATTCTTTTTAAAGAAATTAAAAGAGAAAGAAAATAAATAAACATAACCTTGTTTAATTCATTTTGAAATAGGTTCAATTTAAAAAAAAAAGAATCCAAATTTTAAAAATAGAAAAAAAATCATATGAATAATATTTTTATTCATGAGAAAAGCTAAATGTTTTGTTTCAAAATTACCAACGTCAAATATATGAAGCGAGCAATATATATTTTTACGATTGATAACAGTAATATACTTAATTATTTACTTTATGTAAATATAATAAAAAACATGTGTGGCATATGTTTAATAAACCTATAAAAGTACACTATTATTTAAGAAAAATACCATAATTAAAAATATTACTTTACTAGGATTTCTTGGGGAAAAAATGAACAAAAAATTATAAAAGAAAAGCTGGAGTGATTTTTTTTAAAAAGTAGAACTTCTATATTTTAGCATATTTGATTATAATGTGAGTTAATAGATAGAAACAATTTAATTATTTTTTACACTTCCGTCAAAGCGTTATAACGGGTGAATATATTAAGAATTTATAGCTTCATGCTCGTAAAAAGTGCAAGAAAATAAGTAAATTTGGTTGAGCAGTTAATACATTCGAATAATAAATTAGATACTTAGGACATGCAAAAGAAAGCTGAATTAAGAAATTAGGACATAAATAGTTACTTTTTTTAAAAAAAGATTTTACAATAATTCTTTGTAATACTAAGAAAAATTTTCATTTCATTTAATTGAAATCATAAATACAATTAGTAAAATTTTGATTATTAAGTAGCATTTTTAAATAACAGTGAAAAAAATTCATATGAACTAATATATTTCTTGCTAACAATATTTCAAAATCTTGGAAATTAGTTTTGAGAGATAATCAATTAAATTATTATACATTGAGGTTATATGTCTAGAAAAAAATCTTTAATTTATGTATGCGAGTGAGCAAAATTAAGTTTTAATTCAGCAGCTAACTCAGGAAAACAAAATTGAAAAGCTTTCTTTTCTTCATAGCAGCTAAGCAATAAAATAAAAATAAATAAAAAAAGAATAAAAAATAAAAGACAGGCATGCAACATTTAACTGATGCATTTACTAATACATAAGTGAATCAAGCATTACAAAAACTAAACAAAGACATGCTATTGTTAATTTCCTTAGTAGCAAACTAGCATTCTAACATGCTGTTAAAGAAGAAAACTGTTTAAGTATTGCCATCACTAAACCCATTTGTTTCTTACCTGCTACAAGTACCAACTAATGGAAATTCAACAAAATTTTAAGATTGAAGAGTTTCATTTTTTTTACATTACTTAAAACTTAATTTCTTATTAAATGCCTGAACTAACTGGATATTATTTTTGAAGAAAAAATATTGGCTTAAGAAAACAAGTAAAAAGAAAAAAAACTGGTTATGAAGTGTTAACATGGTTGCAATAAATTTTCATATTGAAGATTTAATCGTTATGGTATTAAATAAATCAATATAATAAATTAAAACTAGCCAATTTTTTGCTGTAATTATTTTTAAACAAATGATTATGAAAATAATCGCGTAACTAGTCATATAAATAAGACTTGAGCGAATTCGATTATCAATACATTTTATTTCAAATTATCTTAATTTACAATTATAACTCAATCCACAAGTAATTATGATCGCAAATATTATAACATGCATTCTTGATTACATACAATCTTGATCTTAAGTAATGGTTCTAATAATAATAAAATTGCAAGGCATAGGGCAAAAGAGTTTTAAGCCAAAATTTGCAAATGTTAACACTTCTGTAGACTGTTTCTAAGTATCATTTCAAAATAAGTACAGTACTGATGCCTCTAATTTTCATTTAATAACCAAATACATAAAAATATTTTATTCTCTACGCAGTGTTTTTCAATTAAAATGTGAATTATAAAAACTATTGAGCAAAACAAAAATGTAACTTGTCATTATATTACTTCAACTGATGATTACTCCTCATTGCAAGATTTAGGTTGCATATTTAATTCATATTTCTCTATATTATTTTTAATGTAACATATAAAAATTGTTCTTTTAAGTCAAAATAATGTTAGAAGAAAACAGATTTAAATTTAAGTTGATATTAATTTCGTAAAAATAAACAAAAAAAAAGGGGGGGAAATATAAATCTTTAAATTAAAGTACATGCATGGTACAGTACAGAACCCGTTATCCGGAAATCAGAAAACCGAAACGAAATTCGATAAATTTTCCCGCCATTTTTTAAAAATTTTTTATTTTTTTTTTCCTCATAAGACTTTAGGATTTTTCTTTCTTTTTCGAAAGATGTCTACCTTACCATCATTTTGGAAATAATCATTAGTGTATTACTCCATCGTTTTTTCTTCTTTTTAAGATTATTTCCAAAAAAAAAAAATTTTTTTTTTAGTTGGGTTTAACAATAAAAAAAAAAAAACGGCTTTTTGTAGTGATTCAGAAAACCGGAAAAATCAGTTATCCGGAATAGCGATGGTCCCGATAGTTCCGGATAATCAGTTCCCTACTGTACTTATAAAACAGGTGGGATTTAGATGGCATTACTTATAACTAAATAAGCAGTATAAAGGAAGACTGAAAGAAGACAAAGTGTTTTGCAGTAGTTGTACGTTTGAAAGTGATGGGAAATCCAATGGGATGAAGTGAGAATGACTTGCACTGTGCATAGGAAAGATCTGGTGCAGAGGCGGCAATACTAGAATTCCACAGCCCCACTGTGTCAACCTGCTTTTTAGCATACATAGAATTAATTGCAAGCAGTTATACCATGTAGTGTCTTTTATATGTAGTTTTAAAGATAAAGTAGACTTATTGTTTACATTTTATTGGATATCACAACATTTTCTCTCAAAATTGAGTAGTCAAATTACACTTAAAACATAAGTGAAAAACGAAAATCATACCTTCTATATACATATGAACTTTTTACTTCACAGAAAATAATATTAACAGAAAAAATATACTTTAAGTATAAATGAAAAATCAAACATCTATTTTAAAGATAAAAAGTTATATAAGTTTCTTTTTTTTTTAAAAATAACTTAAAAGCGTAATTCATAAGAAATAAATACATAAAATAAAATGTTAGCAATTTTTAGATAAGAATTTTTGTTGTTGTTAAAAATCAAGAGTTGGAAACAATATAAAATAGAACATTTAACAGATTATTAATACATTATTTTAAAATAATAAATTTTAAAAATTTCATAATCTGGCCTCATAATTAAGAAACATTAATTAAAAAGCTAATACAGATAAAAAATTTTGTTTGCTAAACAGGAATAACTAGCTTTTGACTATGATATACTATATTTACAAAATTGTAAATGCTTGCATGCTAATAATTAACTAACCAAAGTGAAGTGATTGCTACATATTTAAACAGATAATATATTCTTAAATAATGCATGCATGGATCACCAAGAAAAATAAAATGGAGAAAACACAAACTACCAATTTACAGCAAGAGAAACTGTTCTGAGGGAAACTACTTTTAAATTAAAATATTAATTAGCACTAAATGGTATTACTAATTTTATTTTGTGTTTAATTTTGAATAAAGAAATTCATGCACTACCACGACACTAATCTCATACAAGACATTAATATTTAAAGGAAAGTAATACAGAAAAAGTGGCCAAGTGTATAATCAGCATGCAAAGATTTTAACAGATAAAATAACCAATTTCAAGAAATTAAAAAGCCAGAGAACTATGTGCTAAAAATTATTCTAAAACAGCATGATTCTCTTTTTAGTGAAAGGTAAGAGGCACTTGATACAGAAGCACTGCTTTGAAATTTTAATTTTAGAAATTAAAAATAGTATTCATATTTAAATTCTGCTTTAACGCAAGTTTGTACTCATCATGAGTCATTAAATAAAGTATCCTACAATAGGACTTTGTGCTGCACAGTAAGAGAACACTGCAGAAGTGTTAAAATTTAATGAAATATTATTTCTCACAAATCAAATGATAACAAAATAAAAAGAAAATAATAGCAAATACTTAAATCTTAGTGATATAAAAATGTATTTAATAAAAATACCATAATATAATGCACAAATAATTTAATAAGTACAATTCTTAATGAGGAAATAGAAACATTAAAATTCAAAAAATCATGAAAAACCAATATTTCAGGGTAAAAAAAAGGGCATGCAAGACTAAATGTAATTAATTAAAATATAAAGTCTCAGTACTTTTAAGCATAGAAATCATAATTGGTAAATGAAGAAACTAGTAAAATAAAGGTTTGTAAAATATATAGTTTTAATTCAAATTTTTATAAAAAACACCTTGTAATGTAACATTTAAATAAACTAACCAAACATTGTAACATTTAAATAAACATATTTCAAACTATAAAAAAGAAGGAGTATTCATAATAAAATAAGTGCACATAAATAAGTACTATAGGAACCAACTAAAATGATAATATAAATTAAAAGATAGTAAAACCTGTATTAACCATGAGATAAGAATTCGAAAGTACAACAAAGAATGATTAAAATATATTTACATGTAAAACTTGTTAAAAAAAAGAAAAAAGAAAAAAAAAAACGTGTCTGTAACTGAATAATTTCATGAGTCAAATCAAATTTTGCACTTAATGTGCAATACATATGGTTTTAATACAAGATGTTAGAAAGTAAAACAGCTCAATAGATGCAAGAAAATAAATAAATAAATAGATAAATCTAAGACCTTTTTCAGTATTCTTAACGTTTATCTTTATTCTTAACGTTTATCATTATTCTTAACGTTTTAACATTAAATAAATGTAATTTTAAATTTTTAATGTTAAAATATTATTAAGAATAGTATTGTTAAACATTAAATAAATTTAATTTTAAAATCTATCTATCTTAATTCTAAGATATAATTAAAACTTTCCGATATTTTTGGGTCAAATAAAATTGGTATATAAAAAATTTAAAGCTACTTGAAGAATAAAAGATTTTCCAACACTTACTTAAACATTAAATAAGGTATAAAATCGAAGCAGAGCAATGTAGAATAAATCACAAAAAAAGGTACAATAATTTACATACACTATAGGCTTGGTTCTAGAAACATTAAATAAGAACCTTGCTAAGTATCTAACCACCGAAAGTCTTTGGTATTTAGACGCTGAGGAAGGTTGTTTATAAACCGAAACTATAATGTCCATTTCTACACTTTTATTTGTGCTTCATTCATATTTTTTTGCATCAATTTTACTCTACATAGTTTAAGTGTATACTGTCCTATTTTTTATAAACAAGTTGTAAGGAAATGAAATCAAGAAGTAACAAATATAAGAATTACTATTTCTTATATAAAAAATTTGATTATAAAGAAAGGTCATATTTTTGGAGTTTTATTTCTAAAAACAATACAATAAATTTAATTATCTGTATTAAATACCATGAATTATTATTCTTTTAAAGAATATTTCAGTAATAATACTTCAAAATTTGAACTGATTTTAGATAATTTAAACTTTGAGAGGAGGAAAAATATATCAATTTTTTTTACTAACCTGTGTTTGAAGCCTTGTCAAACCTCTTATCCATAGTATCTGACCTGTTCTTTTCACATCTTGAGATAGAGAGCCACTGCTGCCATCTTCAACCAGAGAAACATTACCTGCCATTTCTTCTGGAGGTCCAGAGCCCCAGGTGAATGTCTTCGGTATTCGTTTCGTAGGAATGGTAGTAATAAGCTGTCCCCACACTAATGTTCCACATCCCAAAAATATACACCAAAGCCATTGGTCAATGGTAAGAGCAGCAGTAGAGAAGGCATAGCTACCAAACTGGATGATGATGACCTGGTGGACAGAGACAATTTTTATCAATATACCAATCAAATATCATTCTAATAAATTAAAATTTATTTAAAATTACTTTAAAACATTAATTGAATTCAAAATGAACAATAAAAATAAATAATAAAATGAATTCAAACAATCTTATGCTAAAATGTTTAAATTAACTAATATACAATGATATTATTATATATATATATCAATGATAATATTCAATAAATAAACGATTATTCAATGAAATATATCTTTCAAAGCCCAAAAACCAAAAATTCAACCAATTCGTTTTGTAGATTCAATTAAGTACCAGGTATTTTGATACTTACAAATAGTTTTTAACAACCATTTATTAAAAATGTCCTGACTATAGTTAAAGTATGCTAACAGTGCTTACATGTCAGCATTTTTAACTAAATGAATAAAATCTTAAGGACAAAATATGCATTAAATAAATTTAATATGCAATGGTCTAAGTCAAGAAACTGTTTCTGGAAATACAAGTTATGTAGAAGATTATAGTAAGATTAAGGATCTTTTGGTAGTAGATGGTATGTTTGATTTTTACCTTCTTTGCTTCGAGCAAATACAGAAGTTGAAAATTAATGCTTAAACATTAAATAATGCCTGGTTTTGCAGCATTTGCCCACATGAAAACTTTACAACAAATTAGCTTATTTATACAGAAACACGAATGATGATAATTGTCCAAGTCACCTGCACTTCAAAGAAACAAGATAGCTAAATTATGTTGTACAAGAGAGAGAAAAAGAAACCCAAAATAAAAAAAAGCAATTTTCATTTTTAATAACTTTTGATCTCATAATTGATTTTTATGCATTGTGGTTTGAAAAGACCACCTAGATAAATAGGTAATATAGACAATAATTTAGATAACCAAATAACACATTAAAATAGTTTTTACGAATGAATATATTTATTTATTTTGTGGTTTGGATTTCTAACTATCAATTCAAATTTATTTTTTTTCACCCTGTCCTTCACCAATCAAAAAAGGTTTCAAAGGGTGGATTAAACTCATGTGGTTGGACTGTTTTGAAAATAACTTAAAAACATTGGAAACCACTGGCTATAAAACAAAGAGTCACTTGGAATCCATTTCAGGTTGTTGCACCACTGAGTAAGAAAAATAATATTTGCTCTCTATAGATTGATTATAGGAAATATAGACCCTAGCTATTTCATATAAATCAAAACCTCAAAGCAATTTTAACCTTATCAATTTGAGTTGTGATTAATTTGATTAAAAATCGAAACAATCCAAATAATTTTTAACTTTTAAAAAAAGTTTTCTTAATACATACTAATAAAAAGTAAATTATCAGTTTCTATAAACGGAGAAGTTTAGAAATTTTCATCATAGTTGTGTGAGGGCAAACAGCAAGTTCATTCATTTTTCCCCCCATCAGAGTTGAGGAATCTTAAGTAGAAAAATAACTGTTAAGGTAGTATGATATTCATATTATACACTAGTCATGGGGTTACCTTGTTTCACAAGTAATATCAGCGACAGAATGCTTAGTGATTATATGTCACTAAGATCTGCTTTTCACAAGCCTTTCGAGATCCATTTCCGTACTAGAGATGAATGGCTTAATTCTCCTCTTTGGCTTAAAAGCAAATGTCTTATATGGTACACTGATGGTTTAAGGCTAGGTCTCAAATCAGGAGCAGGAATTTATTGCTCCAATAATGGTTCCAAACTTCACTTCTCCCTTAGGGAGTTATGCCACTGTTTTTCAGGCTGAGATCTATGCCATTATCTTGTGCTGCAAGATATGCTTAGACAGAGGATATCAAAGTATGACTATCCGCATCTGTTCTGTCAGGCTGCTCTCCTATCACTGTCAAGGTGTAAATTCACCTCTTTGCTAGTGTGGGAATGCTTCTCGGTCCTTTGTGACACATCTACCCATAACAGGGTATACCTACATTGGGTACCTGGACATATAGGTATTCCTGGAAATGAGTTAGCGCGGGCTGGCTCCAAGGCAATTTTTGGGGCCCTGAACCAGCCCTGAGAATTTCTCCCCTCTCTTTCAGGGCATCTATATTCAAGCTCTACAGCAAAATTGCCCATGAGCAATGGCGCGACACAGACGGTCAGAGACAAGCTAAGGAGCTGAATCGTGACTGTAACCGTGCACGTCAAAAAGCGCATCTAAAGCTAAACAGAAACAGCTTGAGGAAGATCATTGGTCTTCTCACTGGTCACTGCATCCTCAGGAGAAACCTATATGGGTATTGAAACTAATATTCTTTGCAGAGGTTGTCATCTTGAAGACGAGATATCACGACCTACACTTTGCGATTGTGAGGTCTATTCTGTTCAAAGATTTGATCATTTAGAGCAACATTATATTAAGGCCTGGGAACTGCAAGATGTTCTTGTAAGGTGTTTGCTGAATTTTATTTCAGCTATAGGGCTTTCTTGCTAATCATGATTTAGGGTTTGGTTACAATAGACCTCTGGACGATGTGCCCTGCTCTTGGAGCTGTCAAACTAAGTCTAACTTCATTATTTGTGTTGGCATCTCTCTGAAAATTTTGTGCACGATTTTACATGCAAGCACAATGCAAAAATATATGCTAATCAAAATTAATCTGACAGTAATAAGATAACTAATCAGATAAAGATGACAAATTTCAATGATAAAAAAAGCTTTTTTGGAAATATTAAAACCTAAGGTCTTCCCCCCACCTGAAAAAACCTGTGCTATAGATTTATAAATGATAACTGAAATTTTTTCTACACTCTGCTATACTGTTTCTCTTTTTATGGAAGGACTAGAGGGGGGGGGGATTGAATATTTTCTACACAAGCAAGCAAAGGATTTTGTCTCACATATTTTTGCACACTGAATCAAACCAGACACAAATCAATAAGATCAGAAGTTGCAAGAGTGTTTATACGCTGCAAAAAAGTACCATTTTTGATTTGAACTTATTTATACATATGACATTGCTATCTCACGGATACACTAGACAAGTAAGTCATTGTTTACTGCTCACTTTCTCAAGCAGTTGAATAAAACCAAATTAAGAGTCAAATGGACAACCTCCTTCAAATGTTCCCCCATAGGTGAACAAAACAGCAGATAGGAGAGCTTTCAAGTACATATCATTTATAAGAATATGAAAAACAAAACCCTGTTTACTAATTTTTCTGAAAAAAAGCCTAATTTTACTAGACTATCAATTATTGATAAAGAAAAGAACTTACCTGTGCTACTGTAGTAATAATTAAAATGCTGTAGAAAATTGGGTTTGTAAATAAACCTTCAAAAATATTTCGTTCACCATGGATTTTTCTGGCATTAATCTCATTGAAAAGAGTCATCATAACAAAGGTATTAAATATAATAGTAAAATGTTCAGATGGCTTTGTTCGAAGGGTTTCACCCATGCCAGAATCGATATCAAATATTTTATCACCTGAAAGATACAAAACACAATTACGTAGGGTAATACTAAAAGTGTAAGAACATTTTTAGATATAAAAGTTGTAAGTAATAAAAACTGTCATAATTTCAAATACAAAAGCTATAATAATGAAATAATCTATTTTACAATCAATTAACTTTAATGGTGAACTTCTGATTTTGGACTTAGCATGAAGTGCACCTTAAAAAAAATGGACAAATATCAAAATGTACTAGAAAGAAGCTAGCACAAAATATGCCTCTTCAATAAGAAATCAATATGAAAATTTGCTTAGTTTTCTTTAAAAACAAATAATCAATTCTCACTTGTTATTTTCTTTATAACGCATTATTCATAACAGTAGTTTATAGAATCAAATGTTATGTCTATTTTCTTGCTTGCATACTTTGAGCTATGTCCATTTTCTAAAACATGCACTTTAAGCTATGTTCAGAAAAAAAAAGTTTACTGAAATTTGTACTTTTGCTAATACACAATGAGTTTCAGCTCATTCGCTTTCAAAACAGTTTTATCTATTTCTGACAGATTATTTTTCGTTTAATAATACAATTACACTAGCGGATACAAGCTTCAACCTTTCCTTATTTTAACCAAAAACTGTTTAAAAAAATGAAAAAATCAACATATTGAATTTATAATTGTTAACATATTGTAATTATTTAATTTTTGAAATTGAAATTTTTGAATTTAATATTAAAAAAACTAAATTTATACATTATTGTGCACCAAATCATTCATTTAATAAACAAAAAATTAAATAGAACAAGCAAGACTTTCCTAAATAAGGATATTGGTTATAGAAAATAGCAAAATTCTTTCATTGCAATCTTCATTTAAATATCAATTTACCTTTATCGACTAAAATGTGCAAAAATGTTTGAAAAATAAAAAGTTTCTTTAAAATATTTTTATGAAACAAATTAAAGCTAGCTTTTGAACAACTATGTGCAATTATAAAGTCTCTTTGATCGCTGAGTAAACTGCACACATTACTTATTTTGCTTTGTTGGAATAGAAATTATCATCAACAATTAATGACATTTATCAACAAATATATTATGCTCATTATTACAGCAAGAATTTATTGCAACTTTTTTTAATATTTACAGTTGATTATATATTGCAATTTCCATCAATATTTGCACTTCAAAAGTAGTTAAAATAATCATACAGCAATTACTGATGTAAATAACAAAAAAGTTCACAGGAAAGAAAGAATCTCTTTCCTTTATCATAAATGTTTCAGTATAAATGGTCTTACCAGCAAATAAAAGAGTAAATATAACAGCCAATTGATAAACAGCATGACCTAATATATTTTTCATCATTGTTCTTGATATTAAAGGTTTTGATCGTCCATAAGGCTTTCTTAAAAGGAGATCTGGTGTAGGCATTTCAGTTGCAAGAGCAAGGGAAGCAAGGGTGTCCATTATGAGGTTAACCCATAACATCTGTACAGCTTTCAATGGACTATCCTGAAAATAGTCATGAAAAACTTCAATAACAATTCTTTTTAATTCATATAAATTAATATTAATCAGTACAAGGCCGGTTCATGCAGATTTTAAGTGTAAGCAAAAATATTTGCACCCTCATACATTAAGGATAATAATAAATATGGACAGGGTAAAATAAATTTTATTCATTATTTTAAAAATAAGTCAAAGTCCAAATTTTATTTATTAATTTTTCATATAAAAATGCAGTGCAAACTACTTAATAAGTCAAAGTCTACAAATTTTATTTATTTATTTTTCATATAAAAATAAAGTGCAAACTACTTATATATCCTATTATAAATTTGATTAAAAAGAAATATTCCTTCCTAAGCAATTTTAGAAGAGCAATCAAAATATTAGATTGTATTAATTTTTACTTAATATCTAATAAATATATAAAAATGTAAATATTACATATTTACATTTTTATCTACTTATCATTTATGTCTGATATTCTCAAATGAAAAGAAAGTACGTACAATTAAAAATCTTGCTTTTTTATATTTTGAAATTATTTTATTAGATAAAAATAAGTTTGATGATAAGGTACGAAATTTTGTTTTGCTTCATATTTTAACATGCCAAAATACAAAACATGAACAAAATATAACAAAAAATCCAAAATTGTTCAAATGTACACACATTGGATTATTCAGACAGATTTTTCATTCAAAAGTTTACATTACAGATAGACAAGTTTTCATAACAGCAAACTAACATTATTAATATACATGTATAAATTATTAACTGATTAGAATGATAAGGATTATAAGCATACCTCGATTGCACAGGCTCCTACAAAAGCAACAATAACGGCAACAACATTTACAGTAAGTTGAAACTGGAGAAATTTTGCAATACTATCATAAACATTTCGCCCCCACATAACTGCTTTAACTATGCTTGTAAAATTATCATCTGTTAGAATAATATCAGATGCCTCTTTGGCCACATCAGTCCCAGCAATACCCTGAAAAATAAAGTTATTTAAACATTTGCTAACACGTAAAACAATATTTTCTAACAGAAAGAAACAATGTAATTATTTATAACTTTCACTTGACTATGAGAATTTTATTGGCTAGATAACTTTTATAAATATTTTGTTTGGGAGCATATTTTAAATTTTTAAGCTTTAATTTACTTACTTTTGTCTCTTTGCTAAGATCTGAATAAATAGTCAGAATATAATTTATATAGTATGTTTAAATTTTGTAATGTGACCAAACTCACATTCATTAGTATCAAAATATAAAAAAATAGCCAAAATAAAGTTTACATTAAAAAAAAAATTTTTTTTTCATTTTATACACTTGGTTTAACTTACTAAAAAAACAAATTTTCTCTGCAAAATATTTTTTTCCATGAATTCTAACCTAGAAATACGCTGGTTTAAAAGAGTACTTCTATATAAGCTACAAAATTGCTTTAGCATCATAAACAATTATGTTAGTGAACATAAATAAAAAATGTAAAGATAAACGTTATTTACACCAGCACTAGATAGCATGGCTTTTATTAATTTGTTTTCAGTATATTTTTATATTTAGTATATTTAGCATTAACCCTCTGTTTGCTTTATTTGTAGACAGAAATCACTTAAAAAAAAATTTTTTTTTTTGCAAGTTTATTGAATTATGATCAAATTCATCACAATCTGAGCAGCAGTCCAAAAAATCTAACACTATCATTATTAAAACTTAAATTTTCAGAATCTGATAAAATCATCAGGAATATACACTCTGTCAATAGCTGAACGTTACCTAGTAGCCATTTCTGATTAGAAAAGGTGGTACACGCAATGAAGAAGAGCGATAAATACCAAGTACCTTTAAATGCCACAATTTAGTAGATGACTAACGGCATCTGTTGGTCAAAACCTAAATTAAACATCTAATACTGTATACAATTTATTTCACTGGTTAAACGGTCAAAAGGTGGGATGCAACTTTTGCTCCATTTCAGATGCCCGTGAAAGTTGCAGAATGTGCTGCCAAATTGATTTTAAAAAGTTACAAATTTGTGTAACTAAAAGAAACTATTGAGTGATTTTATCCTATGATAACAAAATGACTTTTGGGGAAAATAGGGATTTGGGAACCCTGATACTCTTTCTTTCGATAAAAAAAGTGCAATTATTTATTTCTGACAAAATTTATATTTTACTTCTGAAACAATTGTAAGTATCATTTTTAAAATAAGAATAAAACTGTAAAGTGAAGCAGATTAGATGAAAAAACTATTCAAGGTAATTAAAGGTGCTGACACTTAAACAATTAAATGTTTAACAATTCTAAATTAATTTTGAAGAATCCAAAATGCCACGGCAATAAAAGTCTAATGCATTAGTTTAGCACATATACAAAAAGAACACTTTTTAAAAGCTCCTCTTTCCCTGAGAAAGCCAAATTTTAGGAGTTAAATGATTTTATCCTTCTCAGAATGCAGATGGTTCATAAAAGCATTAAGTAATTGATGTATGCCTTCAGTTCTAATGCTGAGATTGACAGTTCAATATTTTAACCTTGATCCAGTTTCATAACCTTTAAATTTATTATTCACTTATAATGCAAACACTAAAGGAATATTTTCAGCCCAATAAATAACTATATTTGTTTCCCCTTTTGTATGCTTTTTCCTTATTTCTCTTTTTTTCACGTAAAAATATTTTCAAAATGCAAAAGAGCTTTAAATGCTATATGTCTTGTGATAAGCCTAGAATCAATAATCAGCAATAAAACATAATAGGCAATTCTTTTACATAATATCTTTTGATGATATTTTATGCATAACTTTTAAGTCTCATAGAATTTTTGCCACCACCTTGTTGCTGCAAGCGCAATGTAACGGAATGATTCAAGAAATTTATCATAAAATGCTAAATAATGCTGAATTTAAGAAAACAGGTAGTCAACACAGTAAATCAATCTACTTCCAAAATTGGGCTCCTGCAAACCTAAAGGTTGTTTAATAACTCGTGATATCGATACACTGTTTACAGCTAACTTCCCAAAATTATCAATAATTTTCAGGTAAACAGACTTTCCATTAAATATAAATTTACAAAAAAAAATCACAATGGCTTTTGAATGAATTTTATAGAAAAGGCAGACACCTTTAGTCAAAAGATTATTTTTCCTGAAAATGAAGCTTACCATTGCAAAACCCACATCTGCTTTCTTAAGTGCTGGACCATCATTTGTCCCATCTCCAGTCACAGCCACTACTTCCCTGTTTGGATTTAATTTACTATCAATAATGCCTTTCACTAAAGTATATTTATCTTGAGGGGAGGATCTTGCTAGAACTCTCAGTCTAGGCCAAACTTTATCAAATAAATTTTGCTGAAACTAGAAAAAAATTTAATTTATTAAATACTATTGAGAAAATAAATTCAAATAACAGACCACATTAATAATGTTTAAAAAAATTACAAATAATTCAAAACTGCGCTCGTAACACATTCACAATTTAAAGATATCCATTTTAGCAAATTTTGTCATGTACAAAATTATGTACAGTAAAAAAAAATTATGCTATCATCTTCTATTCTGACTATTATCACAGTTGCACAAATTATAAATCTTAATAGAATAGAAAAAACACAATACAAACTAAATTATATAATAAAAAAGTGCAGTGAGCACTGTAGGACATACAAAATGTTATGACTTGAATAGCATTAAACGTTCAGTAACTGAGAGGTTACCTATGAAAAACATATTTACCTAATTTGTCTTTCTGCATATTAATTATATAGTTTGTATAGAAATCTGCTAATTTAAAGGCTCAGTTCACCCCCTATCAGTAAATAAGCTCTAAGAAAAGAATAAAACACACGCTTTTTAGAGGACTATATTCGAGATTGTTCTAAAAAGTGCAATAACACACGAGATATAATTGTACAAGATATAATTGTAGAAGATAACAAATAAACAACAAAAATAAAAAATGTAAAATTTTGCTACTTTTTTAAAAAATTCTTTTAAATTATATTTTCTTACAGAAGGTGCATGCTACATAACCACTGATTAACAAATTCAGATTACAGTAAAGAAATTAAATTTTTTAGTTTAAGCTCGGTAAACATTAGAATTTTGCTTTGACATAGACTTAGAAACTGAAACTCAAATATGCCAATGAACATATGATATAATATTTTTAACCAAATAAGCAGATTTAATGATTAATCCTTTATTTCAGTTGCAACTTAATTAACTGGCAAAATACAATTACTTTTCAGTAAATTTACTAAATGTTTCACAAATAAATTACATATTATGAAGTATTTCATTTTCCATGACAAATAATAAGAGCAAATTCATTATAATCTAACAGAAGGAAGCATTATATAAACAAAGGCCTTTCTTTTTAATTTAGTAAGGATAATTCAGAATAAAATCTAAAAAGACCAATTTCAAACTCATTGAAATGTCAATTATTCCTTATTTTTTACTCTATCTTGATTCTGTCTCTTTGTCTTGATGTCTTATGTAAACATGGGAGCAAAAATTTCTCAATTTGCTTTTAGAGTAGAAAAAATCTCATCCTAATCAGCTCCAAACAATGTTATTTTAAAATTTAAAAAAAAAACATCGGGTACAAAAAATAATTTTTAGTACCCCATGTATCAATATTATCTTACACATTCAAAACATTGGGTAAAATTGAGTAATTAAAAGTGGCGGAAAATAATACATACTTCACCATCACTATCTCTTATCCTCTTATTGAATTCTTTACCATCTAATACTAAAAAATCATCTCCAGGTCTGATGATACCACACTTCAAAGCAATGGAACGAGCTGTATTTATATTGTCTCCTGTTACCATACGCACAGTTATACCAGACTTTTGACATTTTTTAATAGCATCTGGTACCTGCAAAATTATAATTTTTTATTACATTTAAAATAAAAATGTGTTGCCAGTTTATTACAAAATGAAAATTACAGCATACAAAATGAAGTCATTAAGATTTGAAATTTAAGTTAATATTTTAGAAATGGTGCTTTTAGGTTAGCTGGACACAAATCCCACATTATTTTTTTGGCATTAATTCCTATTTATTGAAAAATGCACAGTGAAAAGTTCTTAGAATTCTTTAGAGCTAACACTTGGCTATTCAAACGAATTGCACTTGAATATAAGCTAGCCACCCTGGATATTTTTAACAGTTACAGCTAATGATTGCTAAACAGAAAGAATTTTTTTTTTTTTTCATTTACCTTAAGTAAATGTATCAACAAAAATACTCTAAATAACAAGTAATTCTTTTAAGGGATACTTCACAACTAAGTAGGAAAAACAATTTCAATTATTTTGTTCAACATTAAATAAAAAATAGTTCATAAAAATATAGTTATAATAGTTAAATAAATTAGAGCCTAGATTGTAAACTATTATACTGGTCTAATAAACTTGAGTTTCTTTAAATGGAAATGAATATGCATCAATTAGAAATCACAGAATATAAATTAATATTTTAAAAGTATGGATTAATTCTTAGAAAAATTAGCTCTGGCATTCTCCCAACTTTATTGCTTTTCTGTTGTACAAACTGATGCTTTTCCTTTAACATTATAGACTAGAAATATAAGGCACAAAAGAAAACCAAAATTACTTAGTATATATTCTTAGTATCTAATGAAGACTGTGCAAGACTAAGTCAAGTGGAAAAAAAATGTATACAAAAGTTTGGTATAATTCCTTAACAACAAAATACTAGGAAATATATTGTATAATTCAATGGAAATAATCTATTAAACACTATTTATAAATATACAACTTAAACCCATTTAACAGTTTGTTTTTATAGAGAAAAGAAGACTGAAATTACATAGTAGTAAGTCAGGGTGCGTAGCTAAATTTTTCAACAAAAAATAAGCATCTTTGAAGTGCTTTTTAACACTAGATTGCCTAAGGATGTCATTTTGACTGCTTTTAATTTCAATTAGAAAAGCAATGATGTATACAATGACAAAATTTCTTAGAATTTTGTGACTTTTCGAACAACATATAATTTTTTTTATTGTTAATATTTACTAATAACTTGTTACATAACAGTAAATAATATAAAAAATGTTAAAAATTAATTTTAAACAAATTTATTGACGCATTCACAATCTAGTCATTTTGACTGCTTTTCGGCAATATAGATATATACTAATTTTCCGTCTTTCTAGTGTTAAGCACTCAAAAAACATTTTTAAGCACTATATACTAACAAAATGAAAAATAATTTTCAAAGACTTTACATGATCATGATAAAATAACCAGTTTCTGTCAAAAACTCTTTTCTTGATTATATTAGCCATTATAAAAAGAACAAGAGGTTCTGGGTTCAATATCAGACAGTGAAAAATGAAGCCTTAAATAGAGAATATCTTCAAAAAGCAGCAGAGTTGCACATGAGAGTGCAAAAATCTCACCTAACCCAGTTAACTCACGATTCGTAATAATATTGCGCTAAAATATCAAAATTTTATAAAACTACGCGGAAATAATACTATAACTATAAATTAATTAACTAATTATAAAACTACAGATGAAATAACTGTCAAAAAAGTATAAAAAGTCATTTCCATAAAGTTTGCACAAATAAAGCGTTCCGTAATCAAAAATCGTGATTTCAGAAACTACGTGAAAATGGGTAGCAAAAACTACCGAAAAGTATTTGGATTCACGATGAAATCGGCAAACACGAAGAGCGCCAAAAGTGATAACTAAAATTCGAAATTAGTATACGGTAATTATGATGTATTAAAAATATTGGGATTTTCAGAACTATGCTTAAATCCGTAGCATTAACCATCGAAAAACTTCATTGATTGTAATCAGGTGTGTCAAAAACATATTATTTATTATTTTTTGAATTTAATTATTATTTAAAAATTTTGTTCAGATTGCGGCCGCAGGCAGCATTTAGCCCATGGGCAGCAGGTTGTGCACCCATACTTTATTGTTAATTTCTTTTTAAAAAATATATTTGTACTATGACCTAAAGGTGGCTCATTTACTTTATTCTTATTATAAGATTCTCAATTTAAACAAATATTAATTTTCAATTTAATCAATTAAATAAAACTTACTTCTGGTCTTACAGGATCCTCAATACCAACAATACACAAGCATGTTAGCTCGGATACTATCATATTTTCCTCCTCCCAATCAGGCTCTGACATAATTTGAATTTGATTATTAGCATTAGGAGAAAATAAATAGTCTTTATAAGCAATGGCTATGGTTCTTAGTCCATCACTAGCCATAGGCTCAATGACAGTCTTTATTAATCTATCTCTCTCTTCTTTACTAAACCTATCTATCCGTCCATCTTTACCAAATATATGTACACATCTAGAAAAGAATAAGAACAATAATTAACACTGAATTATGTAAAGCAGGGAGAGGTTTTAAAATAATAATAAATAACAAAGGAAAAGAATTTAAAACATAAGAGCATTGAGAAGAGGAAAACACAAGAATAGTACTAAAGATATAAATCATTTGCAGCATAAATTGTAAATAGAACTTTTATACTTAATTTCTCACACTTAAGTACACAAAATTAGATACAGTTTTTTACATACATTATATAAGTAGCTTTTTTATTTACCAAAGTTCCTTTTTAGAATATTTATGAACTTCAAGACTCCACTCAACTTTATTAGGTACCTAGATTGCTGATTTACAGCAAGTTGAATTGGTGACAGTACTGAGGTGAAGGGATGTGATAAGCATGCCAAATATAAGGCACAGGGATGACTTTGGTTAAAAACGGAAAAAAGCTCTAAACAGGAATCCAAAAAATGATATCTGCAAAACTTAAATGATCTTTAAGCCTAGCATTTTTCTATAACGTTGCAAAAAATATATTAAGAAACAAAAATCAAAGAATTTCTGGATAAAATTGCTTTTTATAAAATTATACTTAATATAAGATTTAAAGGGATAAAAAAAGATATAATACCTCAAACAATACAGAAGACTAGTTGACAAGGACACCACTTAATATCTGAGTTTTTCAATAAAAACCTACGTTTACAGATTTTCATTCAATTAGGCAAGTACCTCAAAATACTTGACTTTGGTGATCGGACGAGAACTGTTATATTCATCATGGTATGGCTGCTGACTCCACAAAATACTTAATATTTTTACAGTTTTCTTAATATGATGATAATGATAGTTCAAACTAATGTCAGATTTTCATGCAAAATTCAAATAAAATACTATTGTAACTGCATCATTTAAAGTTCATAATAACCTGTTTAGTAATTTAAATAAACCATTTTTTTTTTGAAAAAAATCTTTGATTTAAATCAATTTACAAACAAAAAAAATAAAAAATAAAGATTTTTTTTCTTTTTTTACTAAACAAAATTTAACAAAACAAATTGGATTTTTTTTTCTTGGTTAAATTAATTTGTTCAGTTGAATAAATTGAAGTCATTTAGGATGATTATGAATGACTGGAACTTGTCAATTAACTAGCTCAAGGGCATAATGTGTTTCTCACAGTTAGTAAAGGGAAAACTATAAAATGTTAATTAATACATACTTGAGATCTAAATATAGAATAAGAAAAGAGAAAATTAATAATTAAGCGTGAGAAAGCGTTTAATTTTGAACAATAAATTCAGATTTAGATGAAGGAATAACAAAAAATTATATATATATACATATATTTATATATATAGCATTTTAACACAAAACATTTTTCGAAATACATGGCTGCTGCCAACTTTTCTGTTTGGCAGAAGCTATATATTGGTAAAGTTTTTAATTTGCTTACTTCTGCAAAACCATTTCAGATGCTCCTTTGTTAAAAACTCTAAATCCTCCTTCAATCTGAACCACAGTACTCATTGATTTTCTTACAGAATTAAAAGTATANAAAATGGGCTCTACTGTTTTGCTCTGTGCAAATGCCGATGGAAGCCAAAAGTTGACACCTCTTGTGATCGGTAGATCAGAGAAACCACGGTGTTTCAAAAATATCAAAAGTTTTTCTACCGATTACACTTCAAACAAAAAAGCATGGATAAAACAAGCATTACTTAAAAATTTTGGATAAAAAAATGAATAAAACTGGAAAAACTGGATAAGAAAATGAATTTTCAAAAGCGCAACATAATTTTATTCCTAGACCAATGCACTGCTCATTTAAACTTTAAATTGAAAAACGTGCCAACAGCTGATCAAGCGATACAAAGTATAAAACTCTAAAACAATTTTTACTTGCAAATGTAAATCAAGAAGCAAATTTGCAAAAAAATTGTTAGTATTGAACGAGCTGTATACGAAATTGTAGCTAGAAACGAAAAGCAAGTAAAGATTACTCATTTTTTCCATTAGTTTAACTGGTAGGTGTCAATTTTTAAAAATGTGCATAGATTTTTCTTGACCCCGATTTTACGTTATTCCGCTTCGAACGTTTTTTATCGCCAGTCCGACAGAAAACGTAAAATCGGGGTTTCACTGTATTGATATAGTTCTTAATTTCCTTACTTCTGCAAAACCATTTCAGATGCTCCTTTGTTAAAAACTCTAAATCCTCCTTCAATCTGAACCACAGTACTCATTGATTTTCTTACAGAATTAAAAGTATAAACTTTGTGCAATTTTTCCTCGGGAATATCATCTCTGACTGTCTGATAATCCTTCCCCATGTCCTGCACAAATTGCAGAAGTGCACATTCAGTTTTGTTCCCCACTTGCTTTGGAAGTTCACCAGGATTGTCAGGAGGCTGCAATATTAAATTTTTAAATGACAATAATAATGTGTACATGTTGAAATCAATTTTGAACATAACTGTGTATTCAAATAAAATAAATGTTCTTGAATTTCTTTTATTAAACAGTTTCAGTTTTAAGTGCTCATAGATTAGGTGTTCTAAGATTAAATTATGTAGTGATCTAAAATTAATGTAGCATCATTTTATGTTAGATCTTCTGTTTCTTGGGGCAGTTTCATTGTTCCAACATTTTACTAAGATTAATTTAAGTAAAAAAAATTTTTTTAAATGTTTATAAATTCATTGGATAGGTGGTTTTTAGTATTCCAGCATATCATTTTGGTGATTACAAGAAAAAGTTATTTTCATTATATTTTCTCAAACAATTTTTAAATCAAACCTGTTATTTTTATTTGAATCTGTTATTTTGTTTGAATCCCTTAATTCATCAAACAAAACACATTCACAAATTTAAACGACGTTCATAATTTAATAATATGGTTGAAAAGGTAATGGGTACAATTTACTAATTTAGTGACATAATCACTGATATTCATTTAAAATTGTGCTTTAGGATAATGAAATAAATAAATTTCGTATCATAGCTAACCTATTATATGCAGGAAACTTAACATACTTACAATAACTTTTGAGGTGTAAGCACTATTAATTGCAATTCCTGTCACTAGTAAATCAGAAATAGATGAGGGTAAATTTTGATACCTTGGCAGAGATGATTTATAATGAGTTCCTGAAAGTAATGAATCCAATTAAACATCTCTCTATACTGAGAAATAAGCATCACCACTTTTTGGGTGTTTTACTTCATGTTTTGTTTTACTGCTCTTAGAAGTTATACTGCAATTTAAAACTTTGAACATGTTTAAAGAAATCTTGTTAGGCCAAAAATGAGAAATAATAATTTGAAGATGAAACCCTCGTTCCTAAGTTAGTCTATTAGATATATATACATATCTGTTAAAGTGTGCCCATTGGGTCTCTTATTCAGCTAGATTGTGAGACGGTCAGCAGATTAGCGATATGTTTTTTTTCCCCTTCAATTACTTTTATTTTCTTTCAGAATTTCGTTCATTTTTTCGTTCAGAATTTCGTTCATTTTCGTTCAATTTCGTTCGTTTCCTCGTATTTTTTTCAGAATTGGCTTAAATGGGACCACCAGCAGATACTGTTTAGTTTAGGGGCATTTACCATCAAATAAATTATATACTAATCATAATGAGTAATGATAAAAAAAATGGAATAATTTTGTTTTCAATTAAATTTCAATTTCACAGAGAGAAATAGAGTAGATAATTGAAAAACAGTTACTGTGGTTCTAGAGTCTAGCAAGCTGAGGACGGAATCTATCATATTTTGAATTTGACCTTTTCATAGGTTACAGCATAATATAAAATCTATAATGATATATAATCTTAAGTCCATTTGCAAAGCAATACGGTTTTTGAAAATGATGGAAACAAATTAAGTATTAGTTTCCATCATTTTTAAAACCATAACTAATTTTGAATATTGAATTTAAACTATTTCAGTTTCAGCCATATAAGTTATATTTAATAGAAAAAGGGGAAAAAACATACGAAAAACTTAAACTAAGTTGAAATAATTCAACAGATTCATAGAAAATCTAAATTAACATAAAATGTTGGCTGGAATTTTCTCAAAAATATAATCTTTGATCTAATTGAAAATTCAGATTAGAAATTTATAATAAAGAAATAATGCCTTGTTTTGATGTTTACTGTTTATTTACGTTGGATATTGCATAAGTCTTTAAAGTCAAGTTTAAGTTATGATTAATGGCTTCATCAGTGTTAAAATACTTTTTTCACCCCAATTTTTCATAAATTTTTTCATGCTTAAGGACAATTTTGAGTGTTAAATAAATAAACAAATAAAAATCCTTGCATTTAATCAAAAACATATAAACATAACTAAATATATATAAATTAAATAAACTATGTATAAAAATTATATAAAGGCTAACAGTAAATAATGCATAGTTAAAAGGATATTAAATAATAAATACAATTGAAAACAAATATTTGCACACTAGCAGAGTTATTTAAAAGAGTAGAAAATTCAAAGAAAAAAAAACTTTTTCAATATTTATCAAGTAATTTTTCTGAAGCTGACCATATTAATATGGATTGTCTGGTAAAACTGGTAACCCATAATGCCACTATGTATAAATGTTAAACAAAAGCAAACAGTAAGTAATAAATATTTGAAAGGATATTAAATAAGAAATACAACTGAAAATAAATGTTTACTCAATTTAATCCAACAAAAATTTGTAACAAAAACATTTTATGACCTTACACAAGAAAACACTGTATTAGAACATAGAAAACACATACGAATACTTAGCATAGCGAAATAAAATGTATGCTAATTAAACTATAATGATTTCAAAACTAACAATTTTCCAATTAAAAAAAAAGAACCGGGAAGAGTTTCACTTACCACAGATATAGCTTTGAACTACAGTCATACGATTCGTGGTAAGAGTCCCAGTTTTATCGGAACATATGGCAGTGGCATTACCCATAGTTTCACAAGCATCTAAATGCCTAACTAAATTGTTGTCTTTCATCATTTTCTGAAAAGTATCAAACTCAAATTAAAAATATATATCTACATGTCAAAAATGAAAATTTAATTTAATAATACTTATAATCATTCCACATAAATATAGGCTTTTTGATAAAATTGAAAAATGAAATTAAATATAGGAAAACAAATATTCTATAATAACAGATAAATAATTGAGGATTTATTTTTTCAAACACAATATTTCCCTCTTCCTTAGGAAGCAGCTATGTAATGGAGAATTGATAGGAATTATTGTCGGACTTTAACTGCTACATTAAGATCTTTAAAGACAGTATGGCAACATTGTAAATTCTGAAACTAACTTAGGTTATTACCGAAATACCTAATTTACTTTATATCTTTATTGCATAAATTAGCTCAGTGATTTCCATTTTTTGCGGCTATTGGAACCCTAAATGATCAAACTTCTTTAGGTGGAGCCCCAGCATTATAAATGGTGTTTATGAAGTCTCGGACCCATTTTGATGTTTAAAAACTTTTAAAATAATAAAGATAGATTAAAATTAATAACATAAATGGTTAGATAGACTAAAAAAGTTTCATGACCCTTGTCAATGAACTTCCACACGTGCCCCCTTCGTCGCACGGAGAATATCAAGTCGATAGTCAATTTCACCCCAGCTAGCGGCAAGCATGTCTGCATCCATAGAGGCTATCGCGATTCTAATTCTGGCTTTTAGGTCATCAATGTTCCACACGATCCTCCTGTAAACATTGTCCTTTATAAATCCAAAAAGAAAAAAGTCCAGCGGCGTTATATCAGGTGATCTGGGTGACCAAGGCATTGGACCACCTCGCCCAATCCATCTTCCTGGAAAATGGTCATTCAAAGAACTACGAATGATGATACCCCAATGAGGTGGTGCACCACCTTGTTGCAAAAAGACATGTGGCTGAAGCTCTTCTAGTTGTGGAAATACGAAGTTTTCCAACATGTCTAAGTATACGGCTGATGAGACCCTCTTTTCTGTAAAAAAGAAAGGCCCAATGACTTGGTCGTGCATTAGTTCACACCACACATTAACCTTTGGGGAATCCCTTTGTGCCTCACGGTATTCATGGGGTTTTTTAGATCCCCATATGCTTACATTATGGAGATTAACAATGCCAGAAACATGAAAGGATGGTTCGTCGGAGAACATTATGCGCTTCAGAAAATCAGCAGCATCTTCTATCCTTCCGACCATATCTATTGCAAACGCCATCCTCCTAGGCCTATCGTCCGATTCCAAACCTTGAACAATTTGAACTTTGTATGCAAGCAGTCTTAATTGTTTCTTAATACAGGGGTGATTGTGAGCCCAAGTCAAAATTCCGGAAAACTTCTTGAGTTAAAAAAAAAAGTTTAAATTGAAAAAAATAAAACAAGATTTTTCTTCCTTTTTCTCAATATTTCTTAGTTTGCTTAAAATATTTTTAAAATTTTACACGTACCTTTACCACTTACACATTCCTAAATGACCTGGAGAAGTAATTAAAATTTACAAACATGTCTTTCTTTCTTGAGTTTATGATTATAACAACTATTTACTGATAAAAAAAAATGAATATTAACCATGAATATAAGCTTATAAAGTATATCTCTGGCTCTCCCTTACAAACAAACAAAATAAACTGCGTTTTTAAGTTCCACCTTTGAAAATTTGATTTCCGGAAACTTCTGTGATCAATGATTTTTTTAAACGCCTGGACTTCGATCTCCGGAAACTTCCGGATCACTGTTAGTGAAAAGTCCGGAAATCCGGATTTTTTCCGGAGCACAATCAGCCCTGTTAATAACCTTGTACACCGTCGAAATTAGCATATCCAATTCTCTTGCCGCTGATCTCACAGATCTTTTAGGATTGTCTTAAAGTGTCTGTCTGGCACGCACAACATCAAAATCACTCTTGAAGGGACGTAAGGAACGTTCCTTATCTGCGATACTTCCAGTTTCTAGAAAATTCTTTTTCCACAGCAAGATGCTGCTTTTGGATGGAGGATCTTTTTGGTAAATTCTTCTGCAATTTCTCTGTGCTTGCACTATCGATTTCGTTTCCTTGAACCACCATAAAATCTGTGCTTTCTCTTTTGGTGTATGCATTCTCCTTAATATCCGCTCGAATAAAACATCACATAGAAAAGTACTGAATAGAACAAACACATCGCAAGTAAACATAACGTTGCAATAGTTGCAAAAACAAAAGAGAGAAAAATGCAATTAATAAACAGACAATATTTAGAATAGTACAGATATTTAGAGTCGAAAATGAAATTAGCTGAAATTAACCACATGTGAAGACGATATTTACAAAAGTAAAGTAATAAGTCTGTTTATATCTTCATTATTTTATGAGTTATTAAACATCAAAATGGGTCCGGGAATTTATAAACACCCTGTATATATATATACACATANATATATATATAAAGATCATAAGTTGCTAGAATTATACCGACAAAAAATAAATAAATAAAATAAAGACTTAATTATTTTTGAATTTAGTTATTTTATTTTAAATTGAAAAGCTTGATGAGAAATACTTATAGGATTTTTTATTAATGCATATTTTTTTCAAATAATTTATTCAATACATTTTTATTAATTTTTTTTAACTTAATAAATTTTTTATTGACATTTTACATAAATAATTTTAGATACAAAACCGAAATAGTAAAAAAAACATGGTTCATTAATTGAATATCAATATAATTATTTCTGGTTAAAAAAAAGTAACTCTTGGAACTAGTGTTATCCTTCTTTGAAAACCTAGGGTTCTGCAGAACACTTTTTAGGCACCACTCAATAAAGTAATTATAAACATTTAATAGTTGCAATTCTTTTCAAAAGGTTAGCAAGTCCAACATTCAGCAGTGAAAAATTAGAATTTTTCTTAAGAAAAATTATTGCACTTACCTTTACAGAATATGCAAGAGCAAGAGTGACAGCTAATGGAAGACCTTCAGGGACAGCAACAACTAGTACAGTGACACCAATGATGATAAATTTAACAATATAATTAACATAAAATGGACTCCAAGGACGAGATTGTATGACAAAAAATTTTATAGCAAAACGAATAATAAGAATAAGAACGGTTAAGACAGCTATTGTTGAACCTGCAAAGAGAGAAAAAAAACTAGAATGAAGAATAGAGCATTCCTTGTTAAAAATTTCCTTTATATATAAGGGAAGGTAAAAATAAAAATTTACAAAAAAATGTCTTTCACGCTTTTGTTTTATATTTATCCAGTTAAGAGGCAAGAAATGATAGACCAGTTTTATGTGGCTACAATTTGCCATATCTTCATGGTACATTTATAAATTTATAATTTTTACACCAATTTCATTATTTCTGGATAGACAAGCATAACATTAAGTTTTCACTTTTGGTGCTTTTTTTAAAAAGCATGAATTGAGTATCAGTTTTCTTATTATCACTATTGACATCATTATTTGCAGTTCCAATCAATAGGTTTACATCCCCTAACACATCTTCATCACTTGATAGGAAATGTTACAATACCTCCTTGAAGGTAAGCCTCCCGTGGTGCTTATAAAAAAGAACAAAGTTCAATTTCATGCCAACTGAAACCAGAATTGAAAGTTCAAGCAATATCCTTAAAGACAAGGAAACTTTTGGATCAGTACCCCCAGAAGTATGATTTGTTTTAGGAACATGGACGACTTCGTGACTCAACAGATTTAACGTGCATCAGTCACCATTTACTACATGGGGAGTCTTCAGCCGGCGCGGATCGAACTCACGATCTATTGGACATGGGCCTAGTGTCCTACCAACCAGGCCTACCTATAGAAAGAAATTCATTTTTGGCATATAATCTTAAACTAAGACTGCGAAGAAAAATTTTAAAAAATCCATCTTGATACTGATATTATAGTACACTATCCTACAATAATGGAAGAGACACTTCCGGTTTTTGATATTTCTTTGAATTTCTGAATAAATAAACTCATGTTTGTGAAAATTGCAACACCATGAAGGACTTACGCGAGTGAGCTGAAATTTTCAGGAAATGCTAAGTAGAGTATGATATGCAAAAGATTAGAATTTCAGATCCGTAGCGCATGCATATGCTGAGCAGCGCCCTCTGAACGGCGGATGAATCTGAATAAATAGACGGCTGTAGCCAGGCGTGTATGGTTATCAGCGGTTATCTGCTAGTGGTAAACGTCAGCTTAGTCATTACTTATGCCTCTTCGATGAAAGAGAGCGAGATTTCAACAACTTACGGAGTTTAAAAGGGGGGAAATCAACGGTCTTCGTGAAGCTGGATTGTTTATCGCGCAGTAGCCGCTCGTGTGCAGCATAACAGCAGCACAGTGTTTGAAAGCAGTCGATAGACGAGTGTCGGACAACTCGGAAATCCGGGAGTGGACCCCGAAATTTAACGTCAGCTCGCGATGATAGACAGCTGTTCCGCGTTGCTTTAAAGGACCGTACGGCTCCCTCTAGACAACTGGCAGCATGGTGGTCAATAGCTACAGGCGTTTCATTGTGTGCTTCATCAATTCGTAGACGTCTGCTGCAGCGTAGACTGCGCGCAAGGACTCTTTTATACAGGATCCCCCTCATGCTAAACCATCGCCACCTGCGGCTACAATGGGCCAATCAGCATAGGGACTGCCATGTTGATTGGAAGGGTGTCGTGTTTTCTGATGAATCCCGCTTTAATTTGTGGTACCATGAGGACCGCATTCGTGTCAGACGCTATGCCGGTGAACGCCACCTTCCGCAGTGCATTATCAAACGCCACAGTGGACGAACACCCGGTGTTATGGTCTATGGCGCCATAGCATATAATGGACGATCTCAATTGCTACGAACTGTGGGTAATCTGGACAGCAATTGGTTCATCCGTGAAGTTCTGCAGCCCCCAGCTGTCCCCTTCCTTCAACCCTTGCCAGGCGCTGCATTTCAACAGGACAATGCCCGCCCTCATATTGCTGAGGACTGTTCAATCCTTCCTTGCATCACGGCAGGCATAGCTTCTTTTTTGGCCTGCGTATTCCCCGGATATGTCCCCGATTGAAGATGTGTGGGATTTTGTTGGTCGGCATCTGGCTCGTGATCCTCGTCCTGTTGCTTCTACCATCGAACTGTGGATACGCATACGAACAATATGGAATTCTCTTCCTCAGACAGACATCCAAAGTTTGCTTGACTCCATGCGACCTCGTGTAGCAGCACTTATTGCGGTGCGTGGTGGCTACACAAAATACTCATTTTGATCTCTTGTTATTGTTTGTTTGCTTTGAAAATTTAATAATTTATTTGTACCACTACCACTCAACCGTGTATTAAATTTCATTTAATTATGACGATTCCTTCATGGTGTTGCAATTTTCACAAACAGGAGTTTACTTAGAGGATTACTTTTTAATTTTACAAGTGTTTGGTTCACGCAATTTTTCATATTTTGGTCAAGAGTCTGAATAAATATTTGAATTATAAGAACACCTCAATGACTAGATTTTTGTTTTTTTCTTAAACCCAGCCTTTTTATTACGCAGAAAAGTACAAGGGTCAAATTGATTTAGAAGAGGAAAGGAATTTTCAGTGGAAGGTGATTGAGAGAATTTAATAAATCATTTTTACTTGTGGAGTTTTATAATCTGCACTGTCCAGATGAAAAGATCAAAAGATGCATGAAAGCAGCTGTATGAAGCACTTTTAGTAATGGATACATGCTTAGAATATTTCATTCATATAAAATTAATGGATAATCAAAAAAATTTTGAGAATGAGAAGCGAGATCAAATTACATACCCTCTTTTGATAGCATTGTTTAACAATTATCAATCAATTACCATGGTAAAAATCATTTGAATTGGAAAAATAATAGGCAACAAATAACAAAATACAACAAGATGAAAAGTAATAATAGAATATATGCTTACCAGCGTAACCAATCTGTATTGCTAGTTTTGTCAGTTTTGTTTGCAAAACTGACTGTTCCTTCCGAGGACTAGCACTTGACGGTTCCGGCTTAGCAGGAACAATCTCAGCACCAGGCGTATCTCTATTATTAGCTTTCTCTGAAGAATCATTCATTAAATGGGAATTAGTAGAAACCATTGCTTCCTCATCTATTAAAATAAAATGAAAAGTAAGCAAAAAGTTGCACTTTTTCTGAATTAAGTAACATTTTATCTCAGTTTACATTCAATAATTAAAAGCATTCTGAAAAGAAAAAAAAAGAAGTTCTTTTTTAAATGAATTGTTTTATAAGCATTAGTTTTATAAAGAGAAATAAATATATTACTGTAATAAGTAAGTATACTTCATAAACTGAACGACCAATCAAAACAAAAAATTTACAACTTGGTTCCTTTTTTTCCCTTTTAGGGACGACAACAAAAGAAATAAGAACTTAGATTATTTAAAGTATCAATATATTACAACATATAAGATATTATAGCATTCATGCTTTCATTGAACATTAAATTATTATGCCAGTAACAAAACTCATTTTAGACGTAAATGATTTATATTAGCTTCATTCTATAAAATTTTTGAGGAATATTGATATTTACTTTTTAACTGGTTTAAAAAAGCAGCCTTAAAAAAGGACTAAAACTCTGTAATTAGGAAAAAGAACAGTATGATACAACTTACTTAAAGTTTACCAAATAATGTTATAAAACATTTTTTTAAATAAAAAAATACATAACATTTATTGGGCTCTTGGAATCTATGTTAAGAAAATGAAACTTATACGAGGCATGTGCAGTATTCTTAAAATGATTATTTAAAAAACAGTTTTAAATAAATTTCATTGATAGACTTAAGAATAGCGTCCATGAACTATTACTGGGGTCAGAATTAAAAGTGCATCTATGACCTTTATGGAAAAAATGGGATTCTAAGACATTATCAAGCACAAAATAACAATTCTACATTGAATGCAAAAGACAATCATTTATGCTGTAATACTGAAAATTTGAATAAAAATTAACTAAGATCTTATTGTTCTGTCATTAAATCTTTAGAAGTAAACATAGATCAAAAAGCAAAATTTTTTTAAAACAATTTTTTCATCATTATTTCAACTCCATCTTTTTTTATTTATATGTCGATAAAAATTAGTGTACACAAATATACTCAACCCTTTAACTATGAAATCTCGTGGAAAAATTAAATAAAAACATCTCACAGAATGTTTTCAGATAGAAAACTTGTCAAAAGTACTCTTCAGTTTTGTTTTTATAGTAAAAGAGAGAAAGTCGAACTTGCACACAGCAATACAAACACAAGTAACAAAGACAATTTAAAACAACTTTTTACATAAGCACTTCTTTAAGCAACCTTAAATAACATTTTATCAAGCTTTTGATTTCAATTCACATTAAACAAAAAAAAAAGTTAACCACCCCTTATAAGTATTCATTTTTAATAATTGTTTTTTTTCTTCTTCTCAATACATACAGAAAATTGCAATTGTTCAATAGAATTGTAAGGTAACAAAACATAATTAACAGAAAGTATAATACTACTTTATTTTGAAAAGCTCATTAAGGTACCTAAAGATATTGTGTTTACTAAAAATCATTTATTTACATGTTTACATTCTAACATGAAAGTTTCTTTAAACTTTCTAGAGTACATACTTTTTGAAATAATGTAAACATAAGTAAACAATTATCCATGGAAAGAAAACTTATCTTTAACTACTTAAAAAATCTCATCTGACGCACCAACTACAATCGTCAAAGCGCAAAATGGATTTAAAATCTGCAAACTGAAAAAAAAAAACATGTAGAGGTTTGCAGGGGTATTAAGTGGTTAGAATCAATGTTATGCAAATTCAATAGTAGGATAAATATAGCAGGGTGCCTGTTTCTCACTCTCTTCCCTTTTAACTTTGCAATAGGCAGAAGTTACTACCGGTAGATATGAGCAGAGGAACAACTGAGATGATGGAAACCCGGATTTTACAGACACTATGGTTTTCAACCTCTATGACTTGATGTTGTAGAATTTCGTATCCTGGACATTTTAACACTGAGAATCAGCCTAATTTCTCCTGCCAGATATTTTGCAGATTGCACACATGGGTAATATGAATTGTATCTGTGAATGGAGCTTTGGGTGGAAACTTGGAATTTTAAGATTACTTTGAATTGCTAGCAGTTAAACAGATCTATTTATTTTTCAACAATGCAATGTTCTTCCTGTTCATGACTAATGTAGGTATTATGCTTCTTTTAAAGCTATTTGAACCTAATTGTGCTTCATCTACAGAGAACTGAACCAAGTTGTAATGCTTCCTCTACAGCGAATTGTACTGCATAGGTGTGCTTATAGTAGTTGTCGTACTAGTTTACAATTAACTGTTTATTGTATCTGCCCATGGTAGCGGGTGTACAGCTGAGATTTGTATGCAACAAACTATACTTGTTGAATATGCATCCAGTAGATGGGTAAAGGAGTTCTCTACGTCAAGTCTTAGTCCATGTACCTAACACATCTGGAATAATGAACCTGCAATTAATTTCCGTCTGTTTCTTCCTTCTCCTGTTTTTTTTTGTTCACATGCAGTACATCACAATGTTGAGCTAAGGGAGGATTCACAACCACTTATGCAAGTTTGTTGATAGTATTCCTCTTTTAATTTCTATTTTCACGTTGTTACTAAAGCAAATTACAAAATCCAGAAAACAGAAGTTTTGTACAATTTCAAATTTATAAGTATCAACTTCAAAGTATTGTTGTATTCATTCGTCTGTCTTTAGTAATAATCATATATTTTTTCTACATTTATTTTAAGGTTAAATTTCTCTGTTGACTTCTTAAATTTATCAAATGCATCCTTTAAATCTCTCTGTTCCAGCAATCATGTTACATTATTATATGCATTCATTATAGATAGTAACTTCAGTGTTTATTCTAGGGCTACGTTGTAAAAGGAAACGTGATAAGGCATCTTCTTCTCTTAATCCATTTTTAATAAAGAAATTGCAAAAAAAAAAATTTATTTCTTAAAGATGCCAGTGACATATAAATTTATATATTATTGCAAAAACTTTTGCGAAGTGTATGACAACCCATTTTTTTTCCATTGCCAATTCTATTTTAATTGACTAAAAGAAACACCAAGGCTAACTCAAGGAGAAAGACAAGGATAATTGCTGCATGCATCGCATAAAACAGATAATTAACATCCTTAAAAAAATTTTAAATAAAATTTCAGAACATTTATTTAAATGCATATTTATAAAGTAAAAAGAAATATATGCCAGTACGCGCTTGTTTCATTAGTGTTTAAATTCTTTGTACACTTATGAAAAGATATTTTCCAAGAATTAGAGTGCAGAAGCCATTCAAATATTAGCAGGGGTGATTGTAAGCCAAAGTCAAAATTCCGGAAAATTTCTTGAGTTAAAAAAAAAAGCAGTTTAAATTGAAAAAATTTTAAACAAGGTCTTTTTCCTTTTTCTCAATATTTCTTAGTTCACTTAAAATATATTTAAAATTTACACATACCTATACCATTTACACATAACTATGATGACCTGGAGAAGTAATTAAAATTTACTAATATGTCTTTCTTTCTTGAGTTAATGATTATAATAACTATTTACTGATAAAAAATTAATATTAATCATGAATATAAGCTAATAAAGTATCTGGCTCTCCCTTACAAACAAATAAAATAAATTGCGTTTTTAAGTTACACCTTTGAAAATTTGATTTCCCGAAACTTCTGTGATCAATAATTTTTTGAAACGGCTGGACCTTCAATTTCCGGAAACTTCTGGATCACTATTAGCGAAAAATCCGGAAATCCGATTTTTTTCCGGAGCACAATCAGTCCTGTATTAGGTAATGAGGGAAAGAGTTTTCATTTGCTTATTTTTGGTGAAATTGGGTAAAAGCAGTCTTAGCAAGGACACTAAATACTCTTTATTGTCACATATCTTTTATACAATGAAAAAAATTAATTTGAAAAAAAAATAGAGAAATATTTTAAGGGTGTATTTTACCTTCTGCGGTTCACGATTTCTAAAGATAAGAATCAAAGACATTTCGAGAATAAAATTCAAACCTAGAATACTACCGAACTAGTTGCATGTTATCTTTTACAGCACAAAAGCTGGAGGTAAGCAGCATTCAATGATGCTTTAAGTATGAGATATTGAGAACTAAGCCTATTATTTCTAAAAATGAAAGAAAGCCCGGCTAGGATTAATGGTAAAAACATTTACAAACAGAATAATTCCTGTAGAATTTTCTGATTTTAAATTCCTGTAGATTTTTCTGATTTAAATTCCTGTAGAATTTTCTGATTAGAAAAATTTGGCTACGCTCCCTGATCTATATACGTCCCCAACTCGATGTATATTTTATACATCGAGTTGGGGACGTATATAGATCAGGGAGCGTAGCCAAATTTTTCAACAAAAAATAAGCACCTTTTAAGCACTTTTCAAGCACTCAAAAAATATTTTTAAGCACTTTGAAAAATATCATAATTAGACAGGGTTGGCAAGTTTTTGACAATTGATGGTTTTATCCAGTTTTATTTACAGTGACGAAGACGATGGCACGTCACAAACAATGAAATTAACAAGAGAAATGAAATTTTCTATCACTAATAGAGAAAAAAAATTGGCAATGTTTAGTTGGTCCCTGTAATCAGCAAAAATTCGAGAGATTTTTTGATTCTATTACAGAGGGCGGAAAATTAAGTCTGAAATTGAGAATCCCTTGCAAAATGGAGCAGGGTTGCACACGAGAGTCAAAAATCTTTACCACTGAATCCAGCTCAGTACACGCAAGTGCGAAAGCACAAGTATTTCATCAAACATGTAAAACAAATGGTGTTTTCACACACTACAGACCGGCGGGGCGCCGAAATAGATTGGGGTTGAATTAATTGTGAAAAAGTTGAACAGGACAATGTCTTTGTGCATAATTTGTGGAGAAAATCAATACGGTAAAGAAAAATATCACATTTAAGAAAAGGGAAAATTAAGCACTTTTTAAAAACACCCATGGTAAAAAGCACCCATAAGGGCTTTTAAAAAATGAAAATCGAAAATAAGCACTTTTTAAAAACGCTATGCAACCTGTAGATGATAACAGGCTATATTAAGTTAGATAGAAAAACAATGGGAATAATAGTAATTATGAAGAACTTAATCGAAGCACCATTCTTTTCAATTTTATTAGCAAAAACTAAAAAACTGTGAAGGTAAAGAAAAATTGGCACACTTATTAGCAATTGCTACCTTCTGTTAAAAATCTAGCACAAGCATTGAGGAAAGGGTGTAATTTGCCGACAAGGGAATGCTGAAAACTACAAAAATACACAAAATTAAAAAAAAGAGAATTGAAAAATATTTGAATGAATACTAAACTGCAATTTTGAATAAAAGGCTATTTCAAATCTTACATAACATGAAAATAAGACTTTTTGTGTTTTGAGGTAGAGGTTCCTAATAAATTAAAAAGTGCTAAAAATAAGCACTTTTTAAAAACGCTATGCACCCTGTAGATGATAACAGGCTATATTAAGTTATATAGAAAAACAATGGGAATAATAGTAATTATGAAGAACTTAAGAGAAGCACCATTCTTTTCAATTTTATTAGCAAAAACTAAAAAACTGTGAAGGTAAACAAAAATTGGCACACTTATTAGCAATTGCTACCTTCTGTTAAAAATCTAGCACAAGCATTAAGGAAAGGGTGTAATTTGCCGACAAGGGAATGCTGAAAACTACAAAAATACACAAAATTAAAAAAAAGAGAATTGAAAAATATTTGAATGAATACTAAACTGCAATTTTGAATAAAAGGCTATTTCAAATCTTACATAACATGAAAATAAGACTTTTTGTGTTTTGAGGTAGAGGTTCCTAATAAATTTTATCCTGGGGGCCTAATATCTGTGTTCCCACCTTAAATAAGATAATAACAAAAGTACAGAAAAAAATTAAGTAAAAACTATTAAATAAGTAAAAATTAAAATTAAGTAAAATGATTAAAATCAAGTAAAAAATATTAAATAAAAAAAGAGAAGTAAATGTGAAAACATTTATTGACAAGAACAAATAACATCTTTCTGTCATAATATAAATTAATTGTACTTAAAATTGAAAAGTTTGATCTCTTTAAAAACAATTCACTTAAGTTTCACTCACGTTTTTAACATTCGGAAATAAAGATTAATGCCTTCAATTATACAGATTGGGCGCAGATTAAGCAGGAGTTCAGTCTTCCAAAAAGTTATTTAACCATAAATTTCTAATGTTTTCTTATCCGGGATAAATTTCATAAAACGAAGTATGCTCTTATATTTCATATAGATTTCTTAGAAAAATATTAAATATAGTCGTTAAAACAAATCCTCATTTCATGTAGATAGATCAGATAGATGCATAAACAATGACTTTCACACAGTTAAAGTTTAACAATATGAATTCTACAAATGTTTAAACAATACAGATTTAAATTACTTTCATTAAAAAGAAAATAACGAGAAATAATAAGTTTTTTTATACCACTCAGCAATAAAATTAATTTCAAAATTCAAATGAAATAACAAATTAACAGCAATGAAACAAAATAAGAATTCTTTCAATTGCATTACAGTAGAGTCCCGATTATCCGAGTTTCCGCTTTAACGGAGCCATCCAATACTTAAATTTTTTTTGTTCTAGTTTATTTGTTATTTTAAAAATCACCGCCGGAAAAAAATTCTGAATTTTATGTTCCAAAAACTAAGGAAAACAAGCTGGCGGACAAAACAAGAATTCTGATGAAATGATCCTTAACATCCTCAATAATGAAACACAGTGGTGAATGTGGCAATTAAAATCAACTTAAAAAAATCTCTTATACAGATGGACTAAACGCTATCGAAAGTGCTATTGAATATATATATAACAACAAGAGGCGACACCAGCCTTCCTGTTATCTCTAAAAAATTGGCTAAACATCGCTAAAGCAATGTAAAACAAAAAACGATTAAGGACTTTTTTAAGTAAGCTTTTTAATTATAATATCAATTGTATGTGGTGTACTTGTATAAATTTTGTATTTGTTAAATATATATATTTATACCTACTCTTTTTCTTTTCTTTTTTATACTCTTCGCTTAAGCCGAATTTTATTGGTTATCCAATTTAGTCTTAGTCCATATTAACTCCGATAATTGGGACGTTACTGTATTTAAAAACTTATATACAAAATGTAAAATATATTAAAATAGCTCTATTATGGAAAAAATATACCTTGGAGCTATGTTGCAAAAATTTATTAATCAAAAACTATTTCAGTGAGAACATTAATTAATAATAAATATTCAAATATAAATAAAAAAGCACAGAATACCTATATAAGACTCATTTGCAATTAATAAAGAAATTTTTTTTTGTAAAATTCAAAGAAATTACATGCAAACAATATAAATAGATTTGTTGTTTAAGTAGAGCAATGACCATACGATTGATTTGTGCAAAAGAGAAAGAATGGCAAAAATGATGCAATAAATAAAATGACAAGATAATAATCTTTTGTGACAAAATTGATTAAAAACAATGTTTAATTCTTTCGCATCGACTGCCGCATATGCATGCCAGGGTGAAAACACTTTCATCTCCTGGCCATCACGCTAGTTCATGTTAATTTGTTTGAATTTGTGCAAATGTGAAAGAACGGCAAAAAATTATGCAATAATTAAAATGACAAGATAATCTTTTGTGATAAAGACAATGTTTAATTCTTTTGTACCGATTGCTGCATATGCATGTCAGGATGAAACACTTTTCATCTCCCAGCCATCACGCTATCGTGCCAAAGTGATTTCTCGTTCATTTCACACTATCACATAATTTCCACAGTGTTCTAGAATGCTCCAAAAAATATATTTGGTACACAATGACATTGTATGTCAATAGATACATGTTGATCGGCATTCTACTTGAAATTAGAGACATAGGACTCACATGCACTTGGCTTTTAATAATGTAAACATGAGGAGAAAGAAATGTTCCCGTATCACACGCGTTAATACACTCTTCAAAATAAGCATATAGTGTTTGTTTACAGTAAGTGGTAGAGTTTTATTTTTGGTAAAGTACAGTTTTCAATTGATAGTTAAATCTGATAGATGTTACACTATCCAATCATTGAAAATTTTTAACTGAACTTGAAATAGCAGAAATTGTGTAAAAATGTATTTAATCAAGAAAAAACTTAAATAAATCAAGTATGTAAATAAAAAAATATATATACAGTATATATTTTACATGAACATGTTATTTACTTTACAGTTCATTATTAAATAATGCATTCATATTTAAGCAATTAATTTTAGCCTAACAGCAAACCCCTCAGTCCATGGACAGACGTTCGCAAAAGAGACTACCGGCCTCAGCGATAAGCAGTAACGTTAAAAACCTCAAATAGTAAACTTTTAATGAAACCCAATGCTTAAGTTCTAATAAAATTTAACTACTTTTAAATGTTGTTTTTAATCAATTTGAAGAGATTATTATGAAGAGATTGCATGGAAGAATAAAAAGACAAAATTAACATTAAAAAGAACTTTTAGTAAATTTAAGCTATAAGCCAATAAAGTGCAGAAATTTAAATTTATATATGCGTGGGTCAGTATTGTGGAAAGACAGCAGAAAAACAATATTAAATATAAGTGCAGAGGAATGAAACAAAAAGCATGAAAAATCTGAATTTAATATATTCATTAAAAATTCTAAAGCAAATTTAGTACACAATTTCAAAATTGTTTGCAAAATTTGAAAATATTTTAGCAAATACCAAGAATTATTGAGTAAGGCATTCTTCATTAGTGCAAAATCTAAAAATAATTTTTTTATGCCTTTTTGACATTAAAGATACAATAACTAAAACCTTATTCATACTTATTTATAATAAAAAAATTACACAGATGTCGAAACCAAACTTCAGTTACTTCCGTTGAATTAAATTCAGTTGGGTTAAATATCTGTATTACAGCAGAAGTGATTGTCTTTGGCACAAACATGGCAAGCAATAATTTTATTCAAATTACTCCCATGCAAAATACTTTCAGTGATATCTAAAAATAATAGAATATTGCAAGGAATTTGATCACCTGAAATGGACACAGGGACGGTCAAGGGTGAACATTCCGTAGTGTTCTTAGCATCATTATGCCATGCTGTTAGTGAAAATAAAATGGCTATAAGCATTGGTGAAAAATCAAAGAAAAATAATCGTGATTATACAAATTTAACAATCATGCAAAAACAGGATTTTTTTTAAAAAAATCCTTCAAAGTGCATGAAGCACACTGTCAGTGCAGAAAATAAAATAGCAGAACATTATTTTTATAACAACTATTTAAAAACACCAAAGGGACCTACCTAAAACTATGTGATATGTGCACATATAATTTTCTTAAGCTAACAAAAATTTCAGCATTAAACTACAGAATTCAAGTGTGATAATACTAGGAATACTACTATTAGAACATGCAGTGAAGGACAAGTTTTAGACAATAAAAAAAATTTTTGATCAGGAGCTTCTTTATAAATTTTTGGGAAAGTGAAAACCATTCAAAAGGTTTACTTACTTAAACCTTAAAGTTACTTAAACTTTTATAAACACAAGAGTGAAGTAAATGCTTTAAGAAATGAAAATTTTTTACTCTCCGTTAATACCACAAGATTAGATTTTCCCCAGTTCCAAGAGAACCTTTTAAATTTAATGATCATTAATTTTAACTTCAAAATAGCAGATTTTAAGTATTTCAGACATGATATTACAAGAAGAATGTAAATAAAGAAATGCTTGTGGAATTTAAAAAAAATTCAAAAGATTGTATTTAATCAATTAAGAAAACTGTTTTCAATACTGCAAATTTAGTAACTACTTTTTATCTAATTTTTTAAACCATTTCAAGGATTGAAAAGTATTAAATTAAACACTATATAATTTAAATTACAACAAGTTCCTAAACTTCTTAGCAACAAGAATGATAGGTTAGAAAATATAGTATTTAAAAATGAACAAAATATTTTATATTACATGTAATATTGATACAAAATTGTAATTCCAAACAAAAAAATAAATAAATAAAAAATAAAAACTTACAAAATAAAACCTGTAATTCAAGTAAGGCAGACTAAGGTAATAAAACAGACAAAAGAGACCTCAATTAAATTAGCAAAAGGTATGACTTAACAAAAATATATTAGTGAATGAAAAATTAAAATCAATTCTAAAAGAAAATTTAAGAAAATTTCGCCTATCTAAAGCTGCCTATGCTTATTTCGAAAATGGCGCAAAAGGACATTAAGGAGAAAAGTTTTGTCCCCAACTGCCACATTTTTGTCCTTGAAAACAGCGATGTTCTTTTTCACAAATACAAGAGACAGGCGTACGCATGCAGAGAGTGTTCAGTACATAAGCATTGTTTTCTCATATTTCATTTATGGCATACATTTCCAACAGCAGTTGTTACTTCCACACTTTTTATAGTAAAATGGATCCAAACTTAGTAAACAATGAAGACATCTAGTGAGTTAATGCTATTCATATCATTATATTAAGTTTTGTCAATTTCCAGCCAGTGTACAAAGCTGATTATGAAAGTGGTGCAAAATATGAACATGTAAATGTGTTAGAAACATTAATACGCAATCACTTAAATACATTTATGATCAAAGAGTACACAGATAAAAAAATACAAGGGATCCATGTATCATAGAAATATGTGTTTCAATAAGCAGTGCACAAGTATAAAAGAGTCACGTTGTACCCCTAAATTTTAGAGGTACAGAGTACCTTTCAAATTCAAGGGCAAAAATGTTCCTGTTTTACTTCTGAAATCAGAGGTACTGTTTTTAGAGTTTGCAGTATTTTTTAATGCATGTTTCCTATGTGCTAGACTATGAAACAGAAACTACAGAAGTAAGTAGTGAAAATAAAAACATAGTTAATGCAACTAATCTCTGAAATCCAATCCACTAGTTCCTTTAATGTAATTTATAAGACATTATTAATATAGAACTGATAATAAGTATTAATATTAGAGCATTAATAATATAAAAGTATAATATAAAAGTATAATAATGAAGTATTAATAATGATATAAGTATCAATAACATGAAAATAAGGTAGTCTATTTTGCATGCCAAATCAAACTATTATTGATGCCAGTGATGCTTAATTAATGGACTAGATCTGTTGCCAAAATATCTATAATACCTCAATTATTTAAAAATTACTGGCATCATCAACAGTTTAGCAATTTTTGTACGACCACCCAAACAAAAGAGTATCAAAAGAGTAATTACTACTTACTTTCAAAGATATTATGAACTTATTTAGTGCAAAAAGTGAGTAAAAAGTTTTAATAATAATATCACTACACAGCATTCGGGTGTCATGTAGTAAGATGAGGGGTAATTCATTTTGGAAAACCATGAATTAAATTTTTTTTTCATTCTTAATAATGATTTGAATACAGATTATCCGCAACAACTGGCTCCTACAAATTTAGAAATAGATTAAACTGTGTTAACAGTCGTATAGTTCATAATTTAATTTCCTCCAGAATAATAAAAAATGAATTATATTTCCATTAAACAAAGTTCTTATGGAAGGACTGTTGTTTAAGAAACCATATTAAATCTATTTACTACACTTATCTCTATGCAACAATTTCAATAAAGAAAAGAAAGAAAAGGCGAAAAATGCTCAGTTTTCCCATGGTTTTTCACTGGGAAAGAAATTCAAAAGTTTTAATCATAAATTTGTCATCACTTATATCTTTTCCTTGAGGTAGTTTCAGACACAGTATTCTTGTATATTAAATAATCATAATAAAAAAAGCAATGAGATTAGATAAGGTTATGAAAGCTTAAAAAATGGAAAGTAAAATAACAAATAAAAGGGTTAAATATATACACACAAAAAAAAAACTTAAGGCATAAAATTTGATGCAATGAAGATATTTAACTACACATTAATATTAGAAAAATCAACAGCTATAGAGATTATATTCTGTTTAAAAACAGAAATATTTCTAAAGACACAATCATCGAAGTTTGCTTCAATTTTTTAAGCTCAAAAATATTTTTTAAAAATTCAAATACTGATTTAAGAAAAGATTTATTAAGGAAGTGCATTGTTTTGCCAAATAAGAAATTATAAAAAGATATGAAATATACATACATAATCAGTTTTAACTGCTCAACTTTCTAGAAATTAAAATCTTATACATGTGTTCAGCTGGTTATAACAAAGACCAAGTAAGTTAAGAAAAATAGAAAGCAGCAAAAATAAATAAATAAATAAAAAGGTTAAATTTAAAAAAAAAAAAACTTGTTAGGCATAAAATTTGATGCATTGAAAACATCTAGTTATACACTGACAGTATTGTAAACATGAGATACGTCAACAGCTATAGAATTATATTTCGCTTAAAAACAGAGATATTTCATGAAGACAATAAGAAATAACACAATTATTGTAAAACATTTTTGCAAGGTAAAAAGAGAAATCAATGCAAATAGCTTGCATAAACTTTTTAAGCTGAAAAATATAAAACTGAATTTAAAAGCTGATTCTAAGAAAAGAATTGCTCAGTTGGTGCATAGTTTTTGCCAGACAAAAAATTATTATCAGACATTGAATGTACATATATATTCCTTTTTAATTCCCTCAAACTTCCAAAATTTAACAGTCATACAAGTGTTCAAGTACATACAGGGATCAAGTAGGAGAAGTTTAAACACAAACAAGCTGTAAAGAATTTAAACGCAGTTCAATTAAGACATTAACTATAGAAAGAATCAGTTAAATGACCTTACAATATGTGAAAATTTTAAAGTCTTACTATGATGAAAAATAAGCAACCATTTTGGTTCAACAGCATCAATATATCTACAGTGCCCGCCGCTAATAAAATCACTGGATAATAAAATCAGCCGCTTTATAAAATCAAATCGGCAAGAACCGAATCGTTACAATATTAATACATGTTAAAAAGCATCCTTTAATAAAATCAATGCCGCCGCTTTTTAAAATCAAAATTTTGACTACCTAATAAATCAAAAGTACAATATTTCAGCTTCTTTTGTTCTTATTTATAAAATTTTATTTTTTCGAAGTTTAAAGATTTTTTTAGAAGAAGCAACAGTTACTCACAAGACTGTGAAACTGGTGTGGTTAGCATTTTCCTGCGATATTCATAGTGTGAGAGTTAAGGAAAAATGTGGGTGGTAAGCGGCGAGTTCATAGAAATCAATGTCAATTCCTTGGCTTGAATGAAGTTTGGAAAAACCTATCTCATTCAACAGGGGGTCGAATTCTTATCTTATTTTTTATTGAATGAACCATAGAAGGGAGAGAAGTTTCTTTTGTTATCTATCTTAACAGAGAACATGAATAGATTTCCAAAACCTGTGCGCATGTTCCCTAGCTATTGACGATAACATGCAGACACAGGAGAAAAATCTGATTCTGAAATTGTTACAGACATCAAAAATTGCTAAGTTATTTTCAATCAAGAAATGAAGGAATCAGACTCAGAAGATGAAATAAACTCATCAGTGCCATCTTCAATGGAAGTCAGAAAAGCAGTTAATGTATTGCGGCAAGCTTTAGAACAAAGAGGAGGAAATATCGAAAACTATAAAAACTTGTATAAACTCTCAAATGATGTTGAAAGGTTAATTTTAAATACTGCAACTCAAGTAACCATTGATCGGTTATTTGCAATAATTTTATAAATTTAATCTTATGTAGGGTTTTACTTTATTAAAATAATTAAATTAGTTAAAATAGAACATTAATGTTGTCATTATTTCAGTTTTTAAAGTCTGCGCATTTAGAATACAAAAAAATATTTTTTTTTTTCAAATGTTGAATCGCCTCTTAATAAAATCAGCCGCTTAATAAAATCAAAAGAGCATAAAACGAAAGTGATTTTAATAAACGGCGGGCACTGTATTTTCATTTTATTTATTTTATAACTTTGAAGTACTAATTTTGAAATCAAAAATTACTGGCACATATTGCAAATTCAAAAGAATGTCAAACATTTCAAATCTTAAGATTGCAGATAATCTAATGTTTTGCCATTTTCTGGTTAACTAAGTCTGTCAACTTAGTTAACTTATTCTGTGTGGATTACACTCAAGTTTTTTTTATTGAATATAGAGATAATCTAATTAAAGTAAAAAATACTTTGAAGAAAAAAAACAATAAAATTCTTAAGTGAAAAATTATTAACTTAGCATTGTTTACTATTCTTTTAAAATATATACTCCCTTTGTTTCATTTTATTATGATAAAAAGTCCTCAAATTAAGAATTTGATCAATTTTGACTTTAAATCACTATTTTTATACACTATTAGATCAGATTAAAAGAGGGCTGTTATGTAAGGAAAATGGCATATAGAGGGGAAAAAATCAGAAATTGGACGTAGTAGTTTTCTTTAATTTATAAGTTATAACTTAATAAGTTATAACCCCACACAATGTGAGAAAAATCTCCTTGCATATCCAACAAATACAAGAAGTAGTCAGATAGAATGCCATTAAAATGCACGATAGAGGCATCATTGTACCAGAGATAAGGGAACTGACAAAGCATATGCACCCACTTTACTTTTAGAAGAGTTAAAAGTAAGAAACGATGGAAAATTATAGAAGCTAAGACGAGCAAAGTGCAGCGAAAGATTTTATTCACTGATATAAGAAAGTAAAGCTGAGCAAAAGAGAATGAAAGAAGTTTAAAGTAACAAAGCGATAAAAAAAAGAGGATATAAAGCAATGATAAAACTATTTAGTCACCTGAATTGTCTTTCTTCTTTTTGCGAGCTTTTTTGGCTTCTATATTGTTTCACAAAAAATGAAGGAGAAAAGAATATTAATGACTGGATCACATTTATAAGTTTCACGGAATTAGATGAATCATTAAAAAAAATCAACAAAACAAAAATATGGATAAAAAACAAAAAAGGAAGGTTAGGTATCAAAATATATTGTAGGTTAGAAAATACAGAAGTAAAATAAGTATAACCTAATAGTAAAACTAATCAACATGCATACATAAATAAACATAAAAGACCAGATAACAAGTCTAATCAATCAAAAAATATTTTTGTAGTGTTAAGATTACTAAGTACTTTCATAGTACGGAATTAGTTAAGCAAATTCAGAACAAAATATATGAGTAATTACGAAAGCAAACATAAAAACCTTTTTTCTGTATCTTTTTCTGCTCGTCGTCGTCACTCTTAGCAGCTCCAAGTAAAGTGAAAATGATTCCAGCTTGAGAGTTGACACCTACAGCTATCACCAACATTTTCCCACTTCCTTCCATAACATGAGTCCCTGATAAAAAGTTATAAACCATTTAGTTATTTAAAATAGCTATGAAAATATGTTAATATATAAATAAAATCAAATAAAACTGTACAACATATAAAGCTTGTAAAACAATTTTATTTTTAAAAAAATCCTAATTTATATTTACAAATGGTTAGGTGAACTTGCAGACATTTTAGCTGTATTTAAATACTCTCAAGTTTCTCATTTCATTTTATCCACTTTTTCTTTTAATTTTTACGAATCAAATGAGAACTAAGATTGTATTACACAACAGTGATATAATATGTTTTTATAATTGCCAATTTTGCATTAGAATATGAAATATTTAGTTTTATGAAACACAATGTAATACTTTTGAATAGTTGTTTCCTAATCTTTTAATTGGGCATATTTGGCATTTGAAAATAAATACATCTAGAAACGATAAAAAAAATATTGATAATTATTTTTCTTTTAAATTCTTAATTTACCCTACTTCTGACTTGACATCAAATGCATAATAAAAACAGATACAAAGCTTTATAATTATTTTCTTTTTTTAAATATTAGTTCATGTATCGTGTATTTCACAGATAATCATGCTAATAATATGCATATTAAGAAAGGAATTCAAAATAATAAAAGCAATTAAAAATAATACTTCCAGTGGAAAAACGCGCTAAGCAGCTGAGAATACAAAAGGAATTGAAACAAAAGAAACAATGAAAAATGAAGAAAAAAAATGAATAAATATGACAACTGAAGCTGACGTCTTCAGGGGGTACTAGCCCCGGAAGCCATAAAAGAAAAACCTTTTCCATCTAGATAGCATGACAAATGTCTAAATTGCTCTCTCTCTCTTCACCAAAGGTTTTGCCAAAGTCCAGGAATATAATATTTTGCCAATGCAAAATACATAAAGCAAATACAGAAGTATAAAAACAAGACAAATACATAAGAATAATACATGCAAAAGTTTACTTGAAGCAAAAATTCATTATTTTTACTCCATTTTTCATTGTTTTGAATAATATGCACTTTTCACTAATGAGATATAATGAATAGTATTTTCTTTTAAAAATGTTAAAATAAACATAAAAATATAAAATTAATTAAATAAAATCCACTGGAATAAAAAGTATAATTATTTTTATTCAGTTATATTTAGGCCAAAAATATATCAAGTTTAAAATAAAGTATGCTTGAAAAATAAAAAAATAACTATTTTATGTAAAAATAAAAAAAACAATTAAAATTCACTATTCTAGAAGAATCTTATGTTTTTAGAGCGTCTCTATTTTTTTCAGGCATTATCAAATTCAGATACTTATTAAATATAAAAACAAAAAATCTACTTTATTATTCAAGCAGAAATATAAAATGATTTATTATTTTCCTTGCACCAAATAAAAGTCACCTTAAAAATTATTAGATAAACTTATAAAATTTATTTTTTACACAAAATCTTATCAATCGAGTGAAATGAGAAAAATTTTATATGTTAAAGGGTAAAATGATTAAAGCAGAAAAAATAACTTCTTATTCAATTTTTGAAATTTTACAAGAGTAAAGTTATAAACAGAAACTTGGAAAAACTCACCTGATAATAAAATAGGATCCAGATTTTCACCTTTTTTTACATGATCTGATTCTCCAGTTAGTGAGCTTTCATCCACTTTTAAGTCGTTACTTTGTATAATTACACCATCAGCAGGCAAAAGATCACCTATAGTTAAAAGATAAAAATATCTTTATAAATAATTTGATGCAATGAAGTACTCATGTCATTAGTAAAAAACATACCCGGTTATATCACATAAATTAGTAGCTTATTAATCAATTTTATAGTACATATTCTTAATGAGTACCTTAAAAATTTTAAGAGGTTTTCAGAGTGCACATGGAGAACTCAAGAAAAGGGAGGGGACTTCAAGAAAGGAAAATAACAGATGAAAACTTTAAAGTGAGTATATTTCATATTTTAGTAGTTGAAAAATTATTTAAATTTTTGATTCTGTATAAGTATATTCTGTATAAGTATAAGAAGTAGAATAAAATCAATACACGACAAAATATTTAAATATTATTGTATAATATCTTAACTATTACAAATAATTTAGATAATTATTCAGTAACTATATAAAGAATTGTGTAATAAATTATTTATGAGAAGAAACAGTGGAAAAATAGTAAAGGGCAATAAAAAATTAAAAAAAGCTTTATAATGTGCCTATCAAACTATTTTCAAAGTACCAGCTTTTATTTCTTTTGACCATTTATCATGTAATGTTCAATGATCCAAAAGAAAATTCATAACTATATCTCAGATATTTAACCTTTTAATGTAAAACATATTCTTAAGAAAGCTAATCCTAGCTTTGAAATTGTTGTTTAACAACTCCAATGATAACTTGTTAAAATTTATAAATGGAGAATTAAAATTATAATGTTTTACAAGCAATATTACCTAACTAAGCTGAAAATTCCTGAAAAATAGATCCTTTCTAATTGACTTTTATTTGGTAAGAGCTTTTATATTAACACAAAAAGATATATTATTCTGTTAAATAGAATAATAATTATCTTTAAACTTTTCTGTGTACTTCAGCCAGAGGTTTGAGGAGAACTCCAAGTTCTTATTACTGTTTTATTCTAATAATATATTACAACAATATATTCCAACAATATATTACAATAATTATTAATCTAAATTTCTTTAGAATAAAAAAAAAACTAACCATATTTCACCTGACAGATGTCTCCCACTACAATATCACTAACAGGTATTTGATTGAGCTCACCACCACGGATAACTGAGAATTTGTGTTCAATTTCAATCCGATTTTGCAATCCACGAAATTGTCTCTCCTTGCTGTAATCATTAAATGCTGTAACTAGAACAACAATTATAACAGATACTAAAATGGCTGCACCTTCTATCCAACCAGCTTCAGATTCCCCTTCATCATGAGAACCTAGAAATGGATTTCAATTCATTAATCACGCATGATCCCTTATTTTGATAAAAGGATAATGCTTGTTAAATTGTATTTGATGAAACAAAAACATTTTGAACAAAAAAAGAAGTTTAGAATTTAACACAATATGCAAGGAATAAAGTTTTAAGCAATATAAGTTCATTAAAAATAACAATGATGAAATTTTGAAAGCAATAAATAAAAAAAAATTTTACTTGAAAAACAAAAGCGAAAACAATAATATTTTACAATATATCTTGGGTGATATATGCAGTTTTAAAAAATTAACCTTGTAAACTTGCCTACAGATTATCAAAAAATACATATGCATACTGAAAATTTACTTATAAGAAAATTGTAGGAACAGAACAAAACAACAACAACAACAAAAAATAATAAATTTTAAAAAAATATCTTAAGCTTCTATGTTAGCAATTACCAAAAGATGTTTTGCAAAATATTAGAGTTCCATAGAAAGAGTTACAGGGGTTCAGAGAATTAGAATTTGCTTTTCAATCAAAAATAATTTATTATATTAGTTTGGTTGATTGTATGAAATTATTTAAAAAGTCGATGAGAAAAAGTAGCAAAATTAAATATTTTTTCAATAAAAATATATCAAATACATTACGCAAAAAAAAACTGCATTTATAAAGCTTTCAATTCAATTTAGTTCAAGCTTTTCAATTCAAAATTAAATAACTAAAAAAGAAAAAAGAATAAAGTTTCTCTGATAACTATACTCAAAATTTATGACAGTTTCAGCTTATTTTGCAGTATTCAGCTTATTTTGTTCTTTTTTAGCCTAGTCATGCACCAAGAAGAAAAAAAATTTATAATTTAAAACATTTCATTCTATACCTCAAATATTTTCAAAATAACCTTGAATTCAAATAATAGTTTTTTCTTAGGTTAGAATATTCACAGCTGTTACTGAACTTTTTTTCATATAATGCTAGGGTTCTGCCAAAAGATGCCTTGATCGTTTAGGTTTACATTGCGAAAATAATAATACTAAATAATAATAAAATTGGACCACTGTTCTTTGTATATAATTTAAATACTTTCAGATTTTGAAAAGACTACTTTTTTCCATTTAAAAAGAAGAAAACTTTCAGCATGTTATGGATTCGAAGCATGGTGTGTTGGCAGCAAAGTTTTATACAGTTTAGCGGGTAATCACATGGAGAGTTCAATGCTTACAACTTTTAAAAAAATTACAAATTTAAGGTCTTATTTTGCATTTAAAAAATTTTTTTAATAAAATTAACAGGAAATAGCCAATTTAAAGTTCATTTTATTTTTAAAAAATTTTTTGATATTGTCTAAAATAAATAATAACCATGGAAGGTCAGGAGGCTATAGAAATAAGAATTCCATCAACTATTTTATACATACATTTGTAAAGATTAAAAAAACAAAAATTGTAAATAAAAAGATTTGACTAATAAGGAAAAAGAATGAAATTATGTCCAAAATTTTATATTTTGACCAGAAGAATCGGAGAAAAATAAACTTTAAAATCAATAATGAAGCTGAAGTTTAGTAAACCAGTGTTTAGTACAGTAATTCTACAAAGTTACCTAAGTAATAAAACAATTATAAAGAGGATTTTTTCTATCTTACCACCCAATTCCAAATCGTCAGGTGGTTTATAAAATGCAAGACCTAAAGACACTACAGCTGCGATTTCTAATATTATGAGGGTGACATCTTGTAAGGCTTCCCAAACTAATTCTAAAAAAGTTTTCGGTGGTCTAGGAGGAATGATATTTGCACCGAATGTTGTCTGCCGATGTTCAATATCTGCTGCAGAACCACTCAAACCTGAAAGAAAAATTGCATTAAAAAAATATTAACTGAGCAACAGCAAATACAGATTTGATACATTTATTAAATATTATACAATTAAGATAGAAAGTCAGCGATGTTTTTTTATATGCCTTTTATGAGATTTATATTTTCAAAAATTTCATGGAAAATTATAAATTGGCTAAGTATTGTTAACTAAGATACTTATAAAAGATACAGAACATTACTTCATAAAAAGATCTCTTCATAAAAAAATAAAACTTCAAAAAAATTCCCCTTATGAATTTTCTAAAACAATGCAATCAAGCACACTCGGAATATTTATAAACCTGATCAAGTTAAAGAGAACAGAGTAAAGGATTCATTTTTAAATTTATAGAGCAGTTCATCATATAGTAAAAGCTTGATATAATGAGCACAGCATATAAGGAAATGTTCGCTAGTCCGACAAATTTCCAAACCATCATCAAAATGCTAACGTTAAAGATGAAAAAGTTGTATGCTTATAATGAGTTTAAAATTTATCCGCCTTCCTCTCTTAAGATAAAAAAGGCTTTAGACAAATACATTATTGTGTTCTTTAAGCAAACAATATTATATAAATAAGGTTTAAAGGGTAGAAACTTTTTATGTATTTTAGATATGTAACCAAAAAAGCGAAAATCAAAAGTTTTCACAAACTTTGCTTTCGAACAGGGCTTCTTACAATTTTAACAACTTACTTTGACAAAGCAATGTGTATATGTCACTACCGGTTAAGTTATCTTCTTTCTAACAGAAGAAACAGTCTCAAATCATTTTGGTTTATGGTGCACGGTAACAATGCTACAGGGAGGACAAGCACTTAACTAGTCAAATGTATGAAAAATGAATTGATAACAAAGTGATACCCAATAAATTCAAACAAACTGATTATAAAGAGTGGAATAATAAAAAAGTGGCTACAGAAATTCTAAACTATCCAATAAATAACAATTACAGGTACACAGTGATACTTTTTAGATATTATAAACAAGACTTCCAACAACCAATATAATTCAAACACCTGTGGACCAAAAAAAGGGAATTTCAGATTTTTTTCCCTGAATCTTGGCTACCCTCAGACACTTTTTATGTTAATGGGTAGTAACAATGATTAGAACTTTTTTTCTTAAATTTTATATTTGTAACAATGCTTTTGTATGGATATATAGCCTCTTAGTACATGCACTGGTTGCAAGCCAATGATCTACATTATGTCAGATCAAAGTGAGACAAACATATTTTCAACCCCTTGCATTATTTTCAGGAGTTAGACTCTTGATGAAAATTTTAGGCCAAACTTTTATATCATAAGTTGGCCCGTAATAAACATTTCGGGCCAAACATGACTATCGCGAGCCGTACTCGTGGTCTTAATATCGGACTAAACAAGAACGTCTGAATGGGCTCTTATCGTATCATTTATTTAGATTCTATTTTACATTTTTAGGTCTGGTGATACATTTATTTCAATCTGAACATTTATTTCAATACAAATATTACTGCAATAGATTCGCTTCAAATTATTTGTATTTTGCTATTAATTAACCATATTATTATTAGTTATACAGAATTTGATATAAGTAATAATTAAAATAATTTTAAAAAGTTTTTTATTCAAATTTATTTGAAATTCACAAGAGCACAATAATGAAGTAAACACAAGTGCAGCTATCTTGCAATTAGTCGTAAGCATTGTATTTAAAGTTACGACCCTCAGGCTCTGCCGCTTAGGCTCTTTTTGCGAACATAAGTTAGACACAGCTTGTTCCGAATTTCTGAGTAGTCCAAGGGGTTAATCCTCAAGAAGCAAAAACATGACTGCTGACAAACAATGGTCATGAAAGAGAATTTCTAGATAAAACTGTCCAAATGTTTACATTATATTAGCAGCTTCATGTTGCAAGAGAATGTGAAAAATACTAACCATCAGTAGGTGATGTGTAGAGTTTCTTGCAGATCTCTTGTACAGAAGAGTATTCATCTCTTATTTTTTGAATGGCATCTCTACCACGATAATCCATCAGCTCTCGAAGCTCCTTGACCCCAAGCCCATAACGGGCAGGGCGTCCCTCTATTGTATCCATCTTGGATACTAAAAGACAAAGATATCCAATGTTACATGTTAAAACAAAACATTTTTACAATAATTTCAATTTTATTTGGTAAAAATATGTCTTGACAACAAAAAGTATTTCAATAAAAATGCGTACCAATGCATTGAATCTAAAAATGATGATTAACATTTCTAAATAAAACTGAAGTCTTTGACCAAAAATATTGAATTTAATTTACTAAAGATGATAAAAACAATATGAGATAGTGGCTAAAATTTGTTGGTGAAACAGTGAAATTTTAAAGTATGTGAAAGCAATTTTTTTAAGTTAATTTTCAGAATGATATAAATCAATACATTTGAATATAACTGGAATAATACTACCAGAAGTAATTTGCATAATTATAACTTCTTTGTAAATAAATTACCATATGATAAGTGAGTAAATAGCATTTGAAAAAACATAACACTGACAATATAAATCAAATAATTACATAATTAAAAGGATATACTTGGTTTTTGTTTGCATTGAATTAACTGTCTTGCTTAAAGTTATTCACAGATATGACAGCCACTTCTAAAGATCTGCGTGTACCCCTGAATCCAAGATCTATTGGGGTTTTTTTTGCTCTTGATCTCGCCCAAAATTTAGATTTACAAAGCCAAAATTTACGAAGATATAAAGTCACAATTTGTGAAAAGAGAAGTCAAATAAAATATTATTCACGAATCAATAGATATCATACTCCCTAATTTTTCTACATCTAATAATTTTTAAATTTTTTAATCCAAAGCTAAACCAAACAGATTTTTGCATATTTCGTTAGTTTGTAAGTAGCATACGAAAATTTCATCATGAGTCCGAGCTTGAAGACTTTGTTTAGCCAATTAGTCAGTTTCACACTAAAATGTTAATTATCAGATATGACGCAACAGAAAGTTGGAACAATATTCAATTTTTTTTTTTTAAGTATTAAAAAAAAAAAAAAAAACGTTAATATATTTTATTTTAGAAAGATTAAAAATTTAATTTCTTTTTTTTACAAAAAACTGTATCCATTTACAAAAAAATTTAGCATCAGTCATCAAATCACCAAAAAAGTAAAGGTAAAAGTACAGCTTAATCTGTGGAGATCCAGGGGTCAAGAGTTCGACTTTGGCAGCCGACGTGCCAGGTTTTATTTGTTATATTATTGTTACGGTTAAATTTGTTATGGCTAAAAGCCCTTTTTTGGTTGTGGTGTTGAAGTTAGGAGGGAGGTGTATCATCTTAGTGAGTTCTTCATGGTGGTTTAAAATTAAATGACCAAAAAATAATAATGAGGCCATGGTTGGGTAATATGCATGATAGTACAAACAACTTGCTTTCATAGCTAGAAATTTATATTCACCATGACTGTTTACAGTAATCTGGTTAACTCTTGCATTGAAAACATCTATAACTTACTCGTTGTAATTTGAATTTTAAAAAAAGCAAACAGGCAAATTTAACATTTTGCTTGTTTCTTTTGTCAAATGCATAAAAAAAAGTATGTGCATGAGCAAAATGCACAATCCAATAACTTATAATAATAAGATAAATGGGAAAAGAACTGAATGGTTTATTCCCACAACACAGGTCAAACAGTAAAGTTTTTAAAAAAATACTGTGCATGTATCTGATAAACATATACAAATTCTAGACAATTACTATTGTTACTCTCATTATCAGAGTTAAAAAGTCTAACAGGTCATTAACCAGAATTGGGCTTTTGATGACAAAAACTGGTTTTCGACATGGCACGTCAAAAACCGGACAAAAAGTGTTGAAATCTGTCAAATGTTGAAATCTGTCAAAAACCTGGGACAAGTTTCTTTTTGTCATTGGGGACATTTACAAGATATCAAACCATGCATTAGGATTACTATAATTATAATTTATAATATTATAAAAAATATAGCCAAAATTTTTGAAACTATAAACTGGTTTTTCTAAAAATATGGTACTCATAATTAATACATAAGATCAATATTATTTGGTATATTATAAGTATTCAGTTTATATTACAGATAACTGAGAGTTGTTAATTATTATAAAAATATTACTTGCTATATTATAACTATTCAGCTTATACAGGGTGTCTATAAAAGAACTCCGGGGTTTTAAAAATTCATATCTCACTAACTATAAAAGATAGCAAAATTTAGTCGATTTCTCTGAAAAGAGTAGCTCAAAAAGTTTTACTCATACCAATTGGGAATGTTTGTATCAACTGTTGGCGGCGCTGCAAGGCCTTGACCTTGAAATGACGTCGCGAAATTTGAAATGATGGTGACTCCGCAACAAAAGGCTCAATGTGTTATTTGGCTCATAGAAACGAAGTCTTTAGTTACTGTACAAAGAAACTTTCGACATAACTATGGTGTTAACCCGCCTTATGACAAAACCATTCGTCCACCCGCCTTCTGACCCCCCAGACATGCTCGCCAGGACATGGGAAGAGGTAGAATACCGTTTAGACGTCTGCCGTGCCACTAACGGGGCTCATATAGAACTTTACTAAGTGTTAAAAAAAAACTTGAAAATGTAAGCTTTTCAGTCATGTATAAAACATGTATGTATGTTTTTTATTTCATTAAAATATTTTGCCTCAAAACCCCGGAGTTCTTTTATAGACACCCTGTATTACTGATATAACTATGAGTTGTTAATTATTATCAATCTTAAACACTGATTTTAATTCTCTTATGCCTCAATTCAGGCAGATTTTTTAGATTAAGTAAAACTAAAGTAGTTTCCAATAATTGTCTTATCTCAATTTTTAATTTCATTCTTAATATTTATTGTTATTACTTATAAGCAGGAGAGCAGAATATATCCAATTGTGGGAATGAGGTTTTGACTGAAATTCAGACAACTCTAGAGAAATGTTTGATTTAAAAGATCCCTACAAAAAATTTTATTGTTAAAAAATGCATCACTTAGTAAAATTTTTCCTTATTAAAAAAGTACATGTTGATTTGTGTTTTACTTGGTAAGTTAATGAGTGTGTTTTGTTTGGTAAGTTAATGAGTGTGTGACCTTTAATTTAATAAATTGTTACTATTTCATTATATTTTGTTTTCAATTATTTTAAACACATATGCTCACTTATTCAAAAATTGTGTAAAATCAAATTATTTTTTTTTCTTTGCTTTTATTATTTATTTTTTCAAAAATATTTTGAAAAAATTAATGTACTAAAAAAAAGGGGAAAAAAAACATGCTAAAATTCTTTGGAAAAATTTCAATTTATAAAAATATCTTATTCTGGGGACGGATTGGATTAACATATTGGATAAATGGTTATTTGACAAATTTTTATTTATAATTATTTAATACTTTCTACACCAAAATTTGGGTTTTCGACACCATTTGTCAAAATAAAAGGATTGTTTTATGTCAAAATAATTCAAGAATATAATCGATAGCTCACTTATAATTTTATGTGTATGTTTATGTATAAATACTTCAAATTTATAATAGCTAATAATTATCCTCACACCAACATTTTGGGTTTCTGACTATTGTTAAGAAGGGGCTTTTGACATGATGGATAAAACCCTGGTTAAAACCATCAACTGTCAAAAATTTGCAAACTCTGACCAAAACATATTTGGCACAGTGTCAAATAATATTTTAAAAAAACTCGAAATTTCAGAAATAAATATTCAAACGAAAGTTTAGTTACCTGTAAAGTTAAAAGGATGTCTCAGCTAAGATTCATGTTTTTCATTTTCTTATTCTTGGCACTGAAAGAGAACACAAAATTGTTAATATATGAAAAACCATTGAAGTTAATAAATTTAAGATATTAAAAGCAGATTCAAATAATCAAGGTGAACATTATTGAAACCGAATACATCGATTTAGGAAGGATATATTTCCTCGGTACCAAAAAAGGAAAAAAAATTTTTTTAAATAAGCAAGAAATTTTCTCAGGTCAAACGAAATAAACCAAACATTGAAGAAAATTTATTATAAAAAATTATTTTGATGAATAGATAGATAAAAGTATGGCTCCATTAAATGAATAATGATTAACTAAAAGTTTTTTTATAAAAAAGTTTTAAAAAAAAAGAAGGCAAATTTAATAAAACTTGCGAATGTAATAGCAAATTATTACTTAAATTACTGTACCAAAATTTATGAGGAAAAATCAGTAACGTGATCACAAAAATTTAACAGAGCAATACAATCATACAATAATAACCATACTGATACATTTATATTTTAACAACTATTCATAACAATAAATTGAAGTGATAGAAGACAAATCAAATACCTTACTACATGCAGAATTTCATACTAAATGTTGCAATACTTCTAATAAAAATCCAGAAACAAACTGTGTTTTAGTAAAATTGTTCCAAATAATTATTAAGATAGAATAAATATACAGGTACAATTTAACTTATGATGAGTTAAGAATAAATTTTTAAAATCTTACGTGCTTACTAACAAGTTGTTTTTATTTACAAGCAGTGAAGTGCATGAGCATAAATTTTTCAAGTTTCGTGACTAATATTTAGTTGCCGCTTTATCCACCTGTCGTTCTCGAACACTTGCGGTGGAACGAGTCAGAAAGGAAATTAAAATTAGGAAATACTACAGAATAAATTACAAAAACTAAGTATAAAAAACATCGGAATGCATTGCCAGTAATATAGAGAAAACGAACTGAACAAAAGAAATAAGGGAAAAACAATATAAACTAATTTACACTTAAAATAATCGCAATATTTATAAAGGAATGCAATTTCCTTAACGCCTAACGCATATAAACTTATTTTACTTTTATGGAGAGAAAAAAATTTGCACAAATAATATCGTACAAAATTTATTTTAATTTAATTAGATTCCAAAGAGTTTTTTAACGTAAGAATAGAACACCAGCACAACCATTTAAGAGCAGATGAAATGAATTTTGGTGGAGTAAGTAAATTTGGTTCCTTTGGTTCAGAGCAGGATCCTGCATGCAAAATTATATTTTTGAATAAACTTTATCTTATAAAAATGTAAATTTATCTGTCAATTAACAAAGCTTAGAAAAAAATGCATTATTAAACAAAAAGGAATGGAATAGAAAGGCAATGGATGATTTTATTTTATTTTATACCCGTCGTTGAACAGTCGACCCAATTTTTTGGGTTTACGACTACTTATGTTCAACTCCGCAGCCTTGAAATTTTGAATCAATCCAGAAGACAAGGAAACTCCTGATCAGTACCCACAGAGGTATTGATTTGTTATGGGAACATGGAGGACTTAGCGACTCGACAGATTTAACATGCATCAGTCACCAGCTGGGATCGAACCCACGAACTCTTGGACATGAGCCCAGCGCCCTACCGACCAGGCTATCTCCGCCTAGACAAAGCATGATTTTATTTTATTTTATTTTATAACCATCGTTGAACAGTCGACCCAATTTTATGGGTTTACGTCTTCTAATGTTCAACTCCGTAGCCTTGTAATTTTAAACCCAATCCAGAAGACAAGGGAACTCCTGGATCTAGTATTGGGAGAAATTTGCCTTCGTGGAGGACTTTTTGATGGAAACCCGCATTTGCGTTATATAGTGAGGAAGACCACGAGAACCTCCCACCGTTAGCCTGACGGAAAGGGGACTCTAACCCATGATCCGTCTACCACTGACGATATTTCACATCAGCACTGTGGTCGGCGCAAGCCGGATGCGGAATTCGTATCGACTGGGATTCGAACCCAGTTCCCCAGACAAAGGATGATTGACCGGGTAAAGCTAAGCGCTGATGTCGCTAGGGGTTAAAATTCGTCGTAAAACCCCTTTGTTACTACTTCCGACTCATTTTTAAGCCTAAGGTTTAAAAAAAACGCATCATCCAATATTATCATACTTATAGTTGTGTTCAATATAACACGTTCTCTCAATTTAACTTTTAAAAGAACAAACAACAAATGAATTCTGAAGACTCCGAAAGCTTGCTGTGACGTTACCCAAAAAATATCAAACGGTGCTATGTTAGGCAAATATAGCCAAATAAGGGATAACTCTTAAAACATGGCAAATCTTAAAATACTTTTGCTGTGATATTAATTTTGTCAAATCCGTTTTAGGATCAAGAACTGATAGAATTTATTAATTACAGAAAACTCTTATTTAACACAAATCACAATAATAAAGCTTCCTAGAATATTAAGCCTGTTCACACATCGCCTCGTAAGCGTAACTAACACAAGCGGAGGGATACACCGGAAGTTTTCTAAATTCCTTCCGGTTTTAGGAAGCTTGTTATTGTTTACATTTAGTCATAAATAAATTCAGTGCTAAATAAATAAATAACTGAAAAAAATTTACTTCATGGATTTTCCGTAATTGGTTTAAATCAAAATTAAAAAGGACTGATATCACATTTAGATAAATATGTAATTTTTAAATAACTAAATATTTTAAAAAATAGCTCAATGATATTGGAAAAAACTAAAATTTCTACTTTATTTACCATCAACATACTATATCATAATCAACGCAGGGTCCTTTCAATAGTATACCATCAATGTGGGGCTTTGCAGAGATATCCGCCTAGTTAGCTCATTTATTAAAGAATTTCCGCCTTGCGTAATTCTCTGATCATCCATATGTATCCAAATAAATTGAATTTTAGATTGAAGGGCCTCTTACTTTTTACAGCTAAATCGCAGTTTTAAATACAGTGATCAGAAAAACGAAATTCACTTTTGATTTAATAATCGCATTTTAACCTACTTAAGTAGCTATTTTCATAGTTTGAAATTTAATGAACCAGGGCGACCTAAAATATGTCAATTAATGACGAAGCACAAATAGTGCAAACTTTCTCAAAATAAAAATATTTTCCTAAGAGAAATTACTTAGTGCTACTATTTCCCGAACTATTATTTACACATAATAAGATAGAAGAAAAATTAAAAGCACCTTGGTCGCGTTACACTACAAAGATTTAGTTGGTTGTATTAATTTGAAGATCAAACATGTGCATTGTCTAACAGTTTTATTGAAGTTAACAGTGACGGAACAAAAGGTTTAATACAACAGTGTGTCAAACAGGAAACAAGATAACACATAAGAAAACGTTATGAAAATATCTGTTATAACAGAGGAAAGGTGGACAACCTTGCATACCATGTACCAATTTTTTGATAGGTAAGTTCAATTAGTAACATAACATAATTAGCAACATAATTAGATCACGTTAAAAATATAGTTAAGCAATGATCTAAAAGAAGACAAAGTTATTAAAAACTAAAGATTTGTGGCATGAGAACTGATTGAAGGGCTACTTGTAATTACTCAATTGCGCCATGTTACGGCTAATCCTTTTACTAAATTTAGGTTGTCCTTAAAGTAAATTTGTTTTCTCCAAAAGAGGACTTGTGTTTTTCGCAGAGCCAACTTCACACTTAAGCCGCATAATCATTATATATTTTTACAACTGATATAGTAAGGCGAGCAACAGCTCCTAAAATCGCCGAAAGATCAAATTTATTGTATTCGATATTTCATGATCATTTGAAACGCCTGGGTTAAATATCAAAGCTCAACATATGGGTTCCTCGTGTTTTTACGGAAAGAAATTTTGCTGTCGCGTTTGACATCTGTGATTTTCTTCTCAAATGTCAAAATTATCCATTTATGACGCACATCATAGCTGGGGAAGTGAAATACGTTGTTTATAACAATGTTAAGGTCTCTGCAAAAGTTTCTAAACGGTAAAACCTCTACTTCAAATGAAAAAGTTAAGAATTACCTGGATCAGTTTTTTTTTTTTTTTAGCCGAAAAGAAAATTTTTATGAGCGTGGAGTCATGCCAGCCCTGTCCAGAACGATAGCAAAAGGTAATGGACCAGAATGGACAATATATAATTAAATAAATATTCACGATAGGAAAATTGTCCTTTTCCCAGGGTGCGTAGCTAGATTTTTCAACAAAAATAAGCAATTTTTTAAGTACTTTTTAAGCACTCAAAATAATATTTTCAATCACTTTCTAAAAAAAAACACTTTTAGGACCTGTGCCGTAATAAAAATTATTTTTTTCTATAGTGGGTTTTTAATTTATAAACATAAAATCAATAAAATTCACAATTTTGGATAAAATAACTAGTTTCTGATAAAAATTGCAGAGAAAATTGTGAAAATCATGCATTTTTTGTAATTTAGAATGACGATAAAAGTAAAAATTTCTTTTTAAAAGATAAAAAACTAAGCACTTTTGACAAACCTCTAATAATAGAAAAAAAACACCTTTTAAAAGCACTTTTTAAAAATGCTGCGCCCAGTTTTTCCTAAGGGAAAAAAAAAAAAAAAAAAAAAAAAAAAAAAAAAATAAAAAAAAAAAAAAAAAACAGAATTACTTTTTGAACGATCTAATAGTTTTTAAATATCAAAACGAACGTTTTTACGATGAATAATAATTTTAATAAAAATACAAAAAAAAAAAGCTCTTTTGGGGGTGGGAAGGAAATAGGGTAGTTTTATTTACCCAATTTTTCTAAGACTTCATTTTCTAAGGGTAAGGAAAAAAAATTGGCACTAATTTTATAATTGTTCTTAAAATGTATCTCATTTCGAGGAACTAGCGGTTTCGCAAAAATAAAAAGCGAAACAACATCATTAGGTAGTTATATGCATTTCATTTCAATAGAAGTAAGGGGAAAAAATGCGACTACACATACCAGTATATTTATAGCATTTACTATTATACTTTTTCCGCCCTACTTTTCTGAACGG